AATATGGTCAAGAGTAGGACAGAGAAGAAACCTCAATCAGTGCATCACGTTTTTTCAGTTCTTCCTCAAGTTTCTTGGTAACAGAAGAAGAATTAATTGTGTTCTCAGCCGCATTTCGTATTGAAGAAAATATTTCCTGAGATTGCAAGGCATCTCCTGTTCTTGTTGTGTCAGATCTAACGGCTTCACTTAGTTGTGATTCCAAATCTATTATTTTAGCCTGTATCAATCAAAATTAAATGAAAAAACAGCAGAATTATATGACTATCATGTGCAGAGAAGTCATCAATTTAAAAACCAACTGCCTGAACATAGATCTTAAATTTTATAGAGTGGAGTCTAATACTCATGGAGCACCAACCTGAAGATTTTGAATGGTGGAATCTTGTTGTTGCATTTGCAACTTCTGTTCCTGATCCAACTGTAAAAGTTGAGCTATTTTATTTCTTAACTGAGAATTCTGCTCCTTCTCTAATCTATGTTTGTCTACAAGCATAGTATTCTCCGACTGCATGAAACACAATGGACATTGGCAACAAGCAAAAAAGGTTATAAAGAATTGTAGAAAAGTCAAACAAGAACTCAGGTGGAGCTATATAACCTTTAAATCTGATTGCAATGTAAATGAAACTTTCCACGCCCTCTGCACTTCACTGTAGAGTAATACAACCTGGTCATTTGCATCTTTAAGTGCTTGTTTTAAGCCCACAACCTCTTGCTTCAGATTTTGATTTTCTCTCTCTTTGTCCAGCATCTCCTTCCGAGCATCACTTGCCTGCAGGACAAAAAGTTATCTAAGCTGCAATTTCTTTTAACACAAAAAGAAGAATAGCTAGTTCAGCATAATTTTATATTACGTTCTATTCTTTAAATTTTCGGGATAAACAAGAAAAGAAAAACAGAGATAAGACCAACAGAACAATCAAGTCAAATCCTGAACTCATGCATCTGACTTCTGTATCCTCTTTTCTTAGTTGTTTATCTCTTTCGCTCCACATCCACTTACCACATCTCTCCATTTCTTGATTGTATCTCGATTCCCAAGGCTTGGTACAGTGTTCCTAGCTCTAGCAGCATAGTTGAGACATGATATTGTCTCAGACAAATTTCGCTCACTTGGACAGATGTTAACGATCATCAATGTTTTGGAGCTTCCCCCTACACATTACAGGAAATAGTATCTCAGTTACAAAGAGCTTCAAAGATTGGTGGTTTAACAAAAAAAATGTTCAAGGTGAAACAAAGAGGAAAGATGCAAGTACTAAAAAGACGAAACTTTTTACCTAGTGAATCTGCAAGTATTCGCGTAAGAATTGAATTCTCATAAGGAATTGAATCCTTTTCTGACGTCAGAGAGGATAAAACATCTCCCAACCTATAAAACCAGTGATATATGGAGTAAGTACAGTTAACAAGAACAAGTTCATGCATTGGACACTGGATGTGCAGCTCACTTGTACGAAAGCAGTGAATAAAAATAGAATTAAGAACAATTTAACATACGCTGAAATTGAATTCATGACATGCAGCAGGTCAGTGACGTGGTCTCCACTGTCATTTTCCACGGTTAAACCTTCACTTCCCGCTAAGTCAACCAGAGAAAGCTTGCTATATATATTTTCTCCAGTAATCGTGTTGCTATAGTATATGTGTATTGTGACAATCCTACCAAGAGAGAAGTCATCCATAAAGACATGAGACTAGAGAACCTTATTATCTGCATATAACTAAAAAAAGAGGAACTGTTCAAGCATAAAATAGAACATACAGATGGGTCACATTAGATTTGGATATATCAATTCCCCGGTTCTGAAATGCAGATTTTAAGATTCTTAAGAATTCCAATGGATTATCAGCTTTTTCCTGTCCGAATTCTATAGTAGATTCGTGTAATCCCATGTTGATCTTCGGCAAGTTGGTTTGGGTTTCTGAAAGTAAATCCCTGATCTGAAAATGAAAGTTGGTGAATTATAAGTTTCAGATTCCATTATGAACCATCTTAGAAAAGATAATGAAAGCCAAATTATTAGTTCTTCAGACACGATTGGAAGCACCTTTTCATTATAGATCTCAAACACTGAAACAGAGAAACTGAATCGTGATGTGGAAGTTGAATCAGAATTGGCTAGGTCGAAAAGTTCCTCAAAACAGCGAGCATATAAACCACGGTCGTGATTCAAACCTTCCTGACAAAACAATAGTCCATAAACTTGTTTCAACGGATAGCCATAGGGACATAACAAATCGCTGGTAAAATAGAGAGTGCAAATATACACAATAAACATGCCTGTGATAATGGATATCTCATAAATCAACATATTCATCTCAGATCAAATCTCAGGCAGAGAGGTAAAGTCAGGATGTTGCCATACTAAGTTTGATTTGCTATCTACATATGTCAAAACTCCAGCACCAAACTTATCCTAGTCTCAATTTTGAACCAAAGATATAGGAAGAATAAACATGAAAAATAGGCAAAAGAGCATATCAGCGCAATAGAAAGACTATTCCCTTGCAAAGGCGACCGCATATACATCATAAGGTATTTTTAAATCCCACAAAACAACCAAAGCTAGATACTAAACTGTAACAGAAAATCAACTGATATAGATGATCAATAATATGTGACCTATTTGTAAACTTTCAGAGGAAAAGGAAAAGAATGACAACCATGGTGTATGTCTTCCCTGCATAAGTTTGTCCATAGGCAAATATGGAGACGTTAGATCCATCCAGTGCAGATTGAACAAAAGGTTGGACATCACTGAACAGTGCAGCTGAGGAAAATTAACAGTATAAGTAAAGAGGTCGCATTGCTTGCACATTTAGTAGATGAAAATTAGAAACAGCTCGTGACATAAGGAGAGACTACATTTACAATGAGCTATGGTATTCACCTTGTCCAACATGAGGTCCATAAACTCGGTCAAATTCAAAGTCCTTCTTGGGATTGGACAGAGTATCATCACTAGTGTTAACAGATATGGTACAATCCCCAGGGAATTCTACAATAGAAGGACCTTCATCCTCAAACAATGGTCTTGCACGGCAAAACACCTTTATGTTCCCTGAAATACAATGAAAAAGAATTCTACATTAATCATCAGGTCGCAGAGAACTATCAGAACACTAGTGAAACTATACTCAAAGAAAGGGTTAAAAGATTGGTACCTTTGGCCGTCAACAAGTCATTGAACAGTCTTTTCTTCTCACTGATAAGTGGAGATATCCTTGCTTCAGTCTCAAGGACAACTTGATCTGTGGTGGTTGAAGTAGATAAATGAATACAACACACTACCAAATTCCACCAAAAAACAGTACAAAACAAAGAAAATAATGAAATGCCACCACAGGGAGTAGGTTAATGGATTCAAAACTTCCAGATATTAGAAAGACATAGATCTATAAATTTTCCAATATACGAAAGAGGTCAACCAAATTGTCAACATTTCTTCTTAGCAGACAAATATACCATAAATCAGTTTCTCTTGATGCTTGCACAATTTACATACACTTCAAACATAGCTAGTGGAAATACACTGGCAGGACACATAACTTACCCAATTTACGACTTTTCTCAGCCAGAACACCTAAATAACGTGTAACCCTCTCAAGCTTTGCATTAGAATACTCCTGCAGATCAGTAGCTTCCTGTCTCAACTCCAAGTAATCTTCCTTCGCAAGCTGTTCAACCAAGGCACATTTTTTTTCTTGATAAGCAATGGCGTCAACCAAAAAACTATGCTAAACACTAAACTTCCTTCAAATCCCCCCCAATTACACAACCTAGCGTAATTGATCAACCTAGCGTAATTGATCATAACGTCTACAGACTCAGCTTACACTTAGAGAATCAAAATCAGCTTGTTTTAGTCGAATAAACTAAAAAAAAAAAGCCAATTATCACAAGATTTCGGTTTATAAACAACGGAATCACTAAAACTGTCAAAGCTCAGGACAAAAATTAAATCTTTACATCAAAAACCAATCAAACCTCTTCGAGAGTGGATAAGAACAGATTTACCCATAAGATTCACTGAAATGACAATCTGGGCCAATACAATAAACATACTGTGGAGTGAAGTGAAAAAAAGAAGTGACATTTCACCTTAACTTTCTCCTTTAATCCGTAGACCTTAGAGACAAGTGCTTGCTTAGGGAGCTCCGAGGAGTGAGGCGGATGCGAAGCCGTCGAAATCGAGTATCGGCGAACCAGTGGACCCGTCGTACGGTGACCTCCCTCCTCAAACGATGCATTCGAAGACGACTTCCTCGGTTCGAATCCACTCACCTCCCAGTTCCACCTATTATTGCTTTTACTCCTCTGATCGGCCATTTCATCCAAGAAGTAAAAAAATCCAAACCACAGACACACAAAAAACCAAAAGTGAAGCACCAACTTGGAATTCCAAATAGAAGAATTCAAAAGTTTTTGAATTTGTTTTCTAGGAATCAAAGCTTTTTAATTTTATTTTTTGCTTCTCACTGTGGATTTTCCCTCGGTCTGGTTTACAAAAAAAAATGAAAGGCGGAGAAGGTGCTTTTGATGGGAAGCCATAACGATGCCGTTTTTGGACTTTTTCACTTTTGTTTTATTTCTTTAAATTGATGAAAATAAAATATGGAGACGACCCTGAAGCCTTCTGAGACACAAATATATTTGTGCTGTGTGTTAATTCACGACGCCTTATCGTGTTCGATTTTAAGTCATTACTCAGAACTACGTTGACTTTTATCTTCTTCGTTTTACAGCAACTACTCATGATTATCTGGAAACAATATTTTGTAAATCGTGAACGAATAATAATTTTTCACGTTTGCAGATTTGTGCCAATTTTATAAGTTAAAGTTTACGAAGTAACGAATTTTTGTCAAATCATACATTTCGCAATTTTAAGTCAACTTTTTTATTTTCTTCTGTTACTCTGTTTTCAGTTTCTGAAAACTAGATCAATCTACGGTGACAAATGTTAGGATCACCGTAGTAAGGATCACAAATGTTAGGATCACCAATAATCTTCGTATTAATTTAGAAATCGCATTACACTTAACATTAAACAATCGCCGAGGAAGTAAAGAAAAAAATAAGACTCAAAGAAAGACTTTAAATAGTCTAACAAAGAGAGACGAAGTACATGAAAGAACCACACAAGAGAAGAAAATCAGTTGATGAGCTTTGGTCTCTTCTCTACAGCTTTTATTCCCTCTTGGATTTGGAGAGAGCACTCTTTCGCTGCCCAAGCATGTACCTGTACATGTGTGGACTACCTGCAACATCTCAAACCCCACAATTCCACACAAAGAAAGACAAAATTAGCCGCGGATCAGAACGAAACAGATTCAATACATATGATTTAAGAAAGGTCAACAGAGTTTGTGCCTGGAACATAGATGGCAAGGACAATTATCGTTGCATAGAAGTAGTCGAATGAGAAGTTCAATATGTTTGGCATCCTAACGCTGTACATCTCGGATGACTGCAGAAAAAATAGCAAATGGAACCATATTGCGTCAAAAATCCCAAAACCATCAAGGCTCAATCGGTCAATGGAACGCAAAACATACACAAAGGAAACATAATATAAGGCTTCATTGATCGAATTGGTATTGTAAAGAGAGGTTGAGCGTGTGCGTGTTGTCTTACCTTGATGTGTGGTAAAGCAAGGTAGATAAGACCTACTTCACTGGTGATACCGGTAGGGTATAGCAACAAAAAGCTGCTGTATCTGAACATATTAAGCGAAAGGAAGAAAGAAAAGAAATGAGATCACGTTTACGTATTTACCAATAATCAAGGCGTATTCTACTGCATATGAATTGCATACCTGAGCCACAAGTGCCATGAAGGTGCAAAGCCTAGAGCTTCCTTAAGACCAAAGAAGGAGTAGCGAATAATCTGCAATATTAAGCAATCATCCAAGCATTCAAACCAGGTTATTTTCTAAATATATTAATCTACAAGGACAAGACTTGAACCAAAATGGAGTAAAGAGCAAGAAACGATCTTTAAGGCTCAATTTTAATTTCAAGGAGTCATGCTTGTTAGTCAATTTTTAACAGCGAATCTCTTGGTCTGTACTTTTAATAACACATGTGACAGGAAACTTCCAACGCATCAGGAAGAGAAGCAATGTTAAGACATTTTTCAGATCCAAGACATACAATGAAACTGGTGAATCTCCCTTACTAAGGGTGAACAAAACCAAAAACGAAGACTAAAGAAACGATTACCTCCGTGATGGACCAGCTAATGACCAGCGACGTAACAAGGAAATGAGATCGGACCTGAAAAGTAAACGGAACGTAATCCAAAGGATCAAGAATGATGAAACTTGCAACCATGAAGGAGAATAATTAACTAGTTATGCTGGTAGTGACTTTCTAAGTAACCTCTGGAAAACTGTATAGGATGCCCCAAGTCAGAAACAGCCGTGAACCTATCTGTGGCAGAGTAGCAGAAACCGGAGATCTGACCAAACCTAATCGAGTTTATAGGCATCGCAAAACACAAATCAGTCGATAATCCTAAAAGTTTTGTCCAATTCTGAAGTCAATGTAACTGATTAGATCACTCACCTACTAATCCGTGAAGAATCTGCTCCAGACCCGGAAAATTCCCAAAATACAGATTCCCAAAAAAATAGGAAATTGTGAGTTCATATCCTCTAATTACCGGGAAAAACGCAAAAAGAAGACGAAAAATTCATGGCAGACGGACCTCGAGAACGGCAGCAGTCTGAGCAAGCTGGAGAGGCTTCTCGATGGCGTCGTAGACATTTTCATGCCCCGTTTCCTTCAAAGTCCTTATCGCAAAGTACAAAACCTGAGCCCTGAAACCCCAAAATATCACCTCAAATCAGTTCCGAGAGAAAACAGAACCCACGAGACAAGACGAAGAAGAAGAACAACAATAATAGAGGGCGGGACTTGGACTCGCCATCCAGCAAAGACGATCCAGTTGTAGAGAGTGAGGTACACGCGCCGAACGAAGGAGAGAAAGCCCGCCATGAAGAGTGGAGATTGCGACTAAGCTATAGAGAGAGAGAGAGCAAAGAGTAGAGATTTATGGCGGAGGGATCGGAAGTGAAAGCATTTATGAAAAATAGAGAGAGACAGGTGAGCAACTTCTCAACCGTCTCGGATATTTATGATTCAAACCCCATACTTCCATCCAATTATCTCAAAACCACCCCTATATTAAATATATCACATTATCACACCCCAACTTCCACAATTGTGGAGGGTCCAATCACTAAAAAACCAATTAGTTTCAATCCCATTACATACAACCAACAATGAAGGTTGTAAAAAAAATCGCTAACTCATCTTCTTTCCATCATCACTGTTCACTTGAAGCAGCACCTGAGCTTGTTTGAGATTGGCCATCTTTCTGCTCCTTATCAGCCACCAATGCACCGTTTCCAGATCTCCGAGCACCGGTCAATTCCTTGGCATCTGTTTCCGTGGGAGAAGAATGCATCTCTTCCTCAATTGGAAGTGTTCTCTTTGAGCCCTCTAGTGCAACTCCCAGCACTATATTCTCTTCCAAAGCTGATCTAGACACTGATGACGTTGAACCTTCTGTTTCATTCTGTGTATCGTTCTTTGCTGACTTTATTGTCGTGCCACTTTTCTTGGCCTTTGGTTTCTCAGCTTCGGTTGTATCCTTTGCTGTGGTAGCCGGTTTAGTAGAGACCGGTTTGGTTCCTGCCTTTACTTCTGTTTCGTCAGGTACCTTGCTGGTATCAGAACCCGGTGCTTCTCCAACCTTCCCGTTCCCCTTTGAATCTGGAGTAGGCATTTCTTTGGACTTTAGACTCGAACCCTTGTTTTCTTGCTCTGCGGTTGTTTTTGATGCACGGTTTTGAGATTTCCATTTGTCTTCTCCATTGATTTTGTAAGAGGGTTCGATTAGCATCAAAGAACGCCGAGAAGCAACACCTCCAGGGCCGTACATTGATTCTCCAAATGGTGCGTTTTCCATGTCGGCGTCTGTGTACATCTTTCGGATTGTACGAATTGGTGTAGCTAGACGTGCTCGGTGATGGCTTATGACTCGGAGAAGGTCCAACAATATAGCTTCCTGTTTCGCCAAGAGTGCAAAACTTAAGCCAGTCCAAGATAAAAAGACTGCAATTAGGTAGACGATAAGTTGAAAGACTTTAACTTACCTTTACACATAAGTATTCTTCGAAATGGGACGTCTTCACAAAACAAGAGATTAATATCTGTAAAAACGAGAATCAGATGTCAGAACCAAAAAAATAAATCCAATACCTCCTAAAATATCTGTTCTTCACTTCAAGATGGGTGCAAAAGAAGAAATAGGCATAGAATTCTACTAACCACGAGGGCCTGGTTTTCTGGATTGACATTCTCCAAGAATATCCTTCTATGTAACCTCTGCTGCTCAACATGAGGATTCTTGGCCAATACTTTCCGCATGTCAGCTACAATATTCTGTTTGTAAAAAGTTCAGAACACGGATCAGCTTAACAATCCATGATTGGCACTTACTTGTATAACGAGTGAGCGAGCATATAAGAATTAGGGAACGCACATTTATTTTGTTAACATCCAAGTGACTGACTGCTAGGTGAGTTTTGATACGCCAGTGAGTTTTTTGAGTAAGGTTTCTCACGACATTGACTGTGAACTTATGGTTTGGGATGTGGATTGCCTCGCGGTCTTCACCTCTTATGATTGTTGGTGACCACCAACCAACATGCTGTAAATTCATTGCAACAACCATTTGAGATAGTTAGTTGGCTAATCAGGAAATGTTTAGGCATAGGAGTAACGTCATTGAAGCTAGGAAAAGAATCACAATATCTAAGCTCGAAGATTGTGATACTAACCTCCACAGTACCAGAAACTTCATAACCTTCAATTTTTGTCTGAATCCACTCATTCAGAACAAATGGCCGGGTTGCGTGTATCATAACACTTGATAGAAAATTTGTCAAAATCTGGAACAGAAAAACCCCAGTTTGTAATTGAATACTTCTCATACGATTGGAAACTAAATGACCTAGGGAACAGTGAATATTCCGAAGAAACTAGTAACCAAAATGCGATTCAGGTCCTACCTCTCGGCCCGCAAGAGTAATCAAAACTGTCCCAAGACCTCCAGCGGTCAGCCATTTTTGCGTAGAGAAACCCAGCAACTCCATAAAAAGTGAAACAGCAGCAACCCATACAGCCGAATACACTGCTTTCCCAGCAAATTGAAATCCCATCTGTGCCATTCCAAGGGAAATTTAGCAAAATAAATTGAGAAACCAGTTATATTTCTGATCTTGCAAGCAGACTCTTTCAGCTAAGACATGTAAGATGGACCAAACATTCTAAGAACAATAACTCTACAGATATTTGATGAACAGAAAAGTCAATCAAGCATTTTTTTAAATAAGAATTACATAACATACATTCCGTGTATCGTTTGGATCACTTGTTTCAGAGAAGAGCTTCTGTGTTTGTTGGATAAGACTGCATGGGAACATTCAACAAGAATCAGAAGTCATGAGATGACTACACAACAGCATCACGTGAACAAACCACTAACACACAGAAACATAAGATGAAAATACATGGCATTTGAAATATAAAGAAAATACGCTTACCTTGAAATGCAGTAGGCAAATGCAAGTACTGTTGACAATGACCTCACAAAATTTAAAAGCCGGTCTTTTACAATTTTGCTAGCTTCGGTAGGAAGAACAACAGGATCTAATGCCCTATATAAGGAATAATCACCAGATAGCAATTATCTCAACAAAGCACTTTAAATAAGTATTTCACCCTATTATCTCAACAATGAACCTCAGAGTCCCGAGGAACTCCTTGATAGTTATACCTGCAGATGAATAGAGCTCCTAGCCATAGCAGCAGGGGTTGAACATACGAAGTCATAACATGGTAAGTACCACTCTTTTTCCATCCGTTATCATTCTTCTGCAATGTTTTAACGGTAAAGTTTCAGAATATCATTTACAAGTAGCACCATTCAATTTGACGTGGGGCAGCACATAAAAGAAAGCGTTAAACAAAAAAGTACATATTGAAATGGGTACACGTACATTGAGTAATAGATTTCTTCCTTGGCGAACAACAGGCACTAAACCCCACAGGGAGAAAACAAGAAGAGCAACAGCTGGAACCAACTTATATACAAGAGGGAATTGTTGTATTAGCCCGTGTGACCTGCAAACAACGGAGTGCAAACATTTACAGAGTGCATTGAAAAAGAACAAGATAAATAACCAGAAACATAAATGCCCCCACCAAAAAAACTACAACTTCCCTACGGGGAATCATGACAATGAAAAAGCATGCACACATCAAAGGTTCGGCTACTTCTGAAATTTCTTTGAGTAGAATAAATTCATATTTATTGTGAGTCAGATGCCTCAAAATTACTATGCAATCCATCAGATCCACAGAGATCAACTAATAGAAATTATGATAGTTTCACAGTTTTTCAAAGTGTTCATTCTGCATGTGAAGATAGGAAACAAGAAGTCTTACTTTGTTAGCACCACACTGGCAGCTTTAATAGCAGGTTCAAATGCCTTGCCTCCTGCAGAAAAAGAATGACACCTAAAAGCAGTGGTTCTGCATGGTACTGAACAAATAGGCCTACGAAGGTAATCCGAGAGTAGAAGACTCCTGAAATCATGTTGCCCCAACTGTATACAGAAGATGAATCTGTTACTAAATATCAGCAAACCAAGTTAAATGATTAAAGTAAGCTGTTTTTTGAAATATTACCGGAACACCTAATGAGAGAGGACCCTTTGATATGTACAGCCTCCTTCTCATGGAACTCTAAGAACAAACACATATTTAGAAAGACAAAGGGGAAAAGAAATAAAAGAAAAGTATTCCAGGGCTAAAACAGAAGAAACATACATTTTCTGGCTTATAGCACCATTGGTTTCTGCAAAGACCCAAGCCATGGGACAACTGCAATGAACCATAAAGGGCCATATTTTGAGCAGAGTAACTGTGTTAGCCAGCGGCGTCAGTAGCACCGATCATAAGCCTCACAGCCTTACGGAAGGAGACTGAATGAATGCCAACACGAACCCTGCACTATAGAAATGAAACCCACAAAATTTTCTAATCTCTTTAGCAAACTGTGAGAATAAGTGACGGTAGCCATCAAAACCTATGCAACATGATCCTTGAGACTCTTAACGATCAATATAATCTATAATTGAACTGAGAACGAACTAGAGCCTTTGAATACACAAGACAATTAAATTCCGTCAGTGTGCCATGTTCATTACCAGAAGCCTAGATATAACAACTTGAATAAAAAGTTTTGCATCATAATCCCAACTTATAAAAAAAAAACTCAAATTTAACTTCAAAAGGCAATTTTAACCTAATCTCATCTCGAGGAAACATCCAATAATAAAAAAAGTCACAAACCAGACAAAACACCAAACCAATCACAAGCTAGAACGTATAAATGAAATTGGTCGATCAATCCATAACTTCGAGGAGGACAAAAATCCGAATTTCAATATAATTGGGCAGTACAAACATCCTCGATGCACGCTTATACAGGGCCGAAGATAAGTAAAGAAAATTAATTATCAGGCAGACAAAATCGAAATTCAATACCGGAGCTTCAATCGAAATACTTGATAAAGAAACATAAAAACTTACCCCAAAATAAAAAATCGAGGGAACAAACAAAATTTCAGGGTTTGAAGCTTCTTCAAGGAGCTTCTACGAAGAGAGACGAGGGAGGGTTCGCGGTTCGCAGTTCGCAGACAGAAATACGCTGCCGTTTTTCCGGAACGAGCAACGTTTCGGGTAAAGTGGTGATCAAAATGCCACGTGTTGCGACACGTCGGACCCGTGCGGCGAATAGTATCGTGTAGAAAATTATGCTCCGGCATAATGGACATATTATTTTCCACTTTCTTTTTGTTTTTTTATCCAATTTCCACTTTTATAAATACATAGTTTTGTTACCCGGACTTAAGACACCCAAAATATACCTTTAAGTTCCCTTAGTTTAATCCCTCAAATTTACTTAGAGCTTCTCTAATCTATAGTAGTATCTCAATGGATTATCTTACATTTAAAAAAATCTAGAAAAATAGTTTTCCAATAGGAAAAAAATCAAAATCAAATTTGAGAGTTCCATAAAAACTCTTTACATGGAACATGTGTCTTTTTATGAGTAGTTCAAATTTTTTTGTAATAAATCAATTTTATAATAGTTTAGAATATTAAATAAGAAATATGTATGTTGTTATTTTTAAATATAAATCATAACATTTTTGTCGTTAGTATAAACCATAACATATTATTAGCTATCTATCAAGTTTCAATATGCATGAGTTTAAAATTTATATTAAAAATATTTTTTTAATTGAAATTAGTTAAAGTTAATAATACTATGGTGTGATTTCTTTTCTTTTGCGCCTGTTATAATGTCTGTTGTGATCTAGGATCATTTATGATCTGTGTCTTTCAATCAAATAACCTAAAATTAGAAAAGAAACCAAACAACAACAACTGTACAAAGAAAACAATAAGCAAAATTATTCATGGTTAGTTTCTTGAATTTTTTTCCGTTACTATTTTGTATAAGTATCAACAAACACTGCGTCATCAGAATCATCACATTGATATCTCCTCTACTATGTACACATGGGAAAGGGGCTCGAAAAGAGATATAAAGACAGATAAATCTTTGCAGGGACAAAACAGAGTGTTATTTTTTTTTTGTGGCTGTGATGTGTACATAGTTTAATTTTGGAATCACATGTGATTTTGGACTATGTACCATCTTCAGAGACCGAATGTTCCTCTCCGCCATTCTTTTATCAACAAGATTCACAAACAAAAGAAAGAAACAAGACAAATCTCCTTTAGTTTTTCCTTAACAAAAACTTCTGAACAAAATATTGTAGCAAATGTAAGATTTTGTTCAATGTATTGAGATTTAAAAAAAAAACAAAAAACAAAATAGATAGAGATTAAAGATGCTACGAAGAGCAGCAAGCAATGCATACTCATGGTGGTGGGCAAGCCACGTTCGAACCAAACAATCCAAATGGCTCGAAGAAAACCTTCAAGGTAACATTACGATTCTATTCACTTCTTTCACGTTTTAGAATTTTTCTAGATAAAATTAGAATTCTCGTCTCTTGTAATCAGATATCGAGGAGAAAGTGCAATACGCACTTAAGCTTCTGGAAGATGAAGGTGAATCATTTGCTAAGCGTGCTGAAATGTATTACAAGAGAAGGCCTGAATTGATAAGTTTTGTGGAAGAATCTTTCAAGGCTTATCGTGCTTTAGCAGAACGGTATGATCATATCTCTAAGGAGCTTCAAAACGCTAACACAACAATAGCATCTGTTTTCCCTGACCAAGTCCCTGAGTTTGCAATGAACGAAGACGACGATGCAGCTCCTGTTTCACTCAAGACTCACGCAGAGACGTCGTCAAATCAGAATATTCCAAAGGTTCCTGAATTGCCTTTAAAAGACTCTCAGGCCACAAAGATGTTCAAGTCGAGGAAATGTATCAAAGGACATGATGCCTCGTCCGTTGTTGTAAAGAAGTCCGGTCTGAGTAAAACCGAGGGGGTGGAAGAGATTGATAAGTTGCAAAAAGAGATTCTTGTGTTGCAGACCGAGAAAGAGTTTGTGAAGAGTTCTTATGAGAATGGACTTGCAAAATATTGGGAGATTGAGAATTGTATCATGGAGAAACAAGGAAGGGTATGTAATTTGCAAGACGAGTTTGATGAAGGTGTTCTCATAGAAGACGGAGAAGCTCAGGTTTTGATGTCCACCACAGCTCTCAAATCATGCCAAGAGAAATTGACAGAGCTGAGAGATAAACAGAAGAAGAATGTAAGAGAAACAGAGGTTACAAGAAAACAGGTCAGCGAATCAACAGAGGAATTTGGTAATCTTTCTGATGCATTGCTTGGTGATGGAAGGATAAACCAGAGAAATGGAGAAACGAAAAAGGAAGAGTTTAAATCATCAGAGGAGAAGGTAAATGAAGAGTTTGACTCTGAAGTTGCTAGCTCATGTCTTACCGTAACAGATGTGGCTGATAAAATCGATGAGCTTGTGAATGATGTGATCAATTTGGAGAGCTTGTTCTCATCTCAAGTAGCTTTGATACATAGACTACGAGAAGAAGTCGATGATCTCAAAGCACAGATTAGAGATCTGCAAAGACAAAATAACTCATCTCAAACTGATGAAAATACTGTGATGAGAAAGAAGACGGGAGATATGGATGAAAAGCTGAAGGGTATTAAGGATATAGACCATACAGTTGAAGAACAGAGTGAGAACATTGAAAAAAATCTTACACGAGCACAGATAAAACTAAGTTTCTTGTCTGAGAGATTAGAAAGCTTGAAGCAAAAAGGGCAAGAAGAATTCAAGGATACTAACGTGCCTATTCAAGAAACAAGATCTTTGACTGATACAAAATTTCTAGAGGAAAATCCTGATGATTCATCAGTTGTATCTGAAAATGTTAAACCAACATCTGAAGTGGTTATTTCTGAAAAAGATGATCATACAGTTGAAGTTAATCAAGAAGAAACTATAGAGAAGGAAGCTTCATCACCACCAAAATCAGAGGTTAAAACTGAAGATGAAGCATTCTTGCAACAGTTTCTTGCACATGGGATTGAAGGTAGAGAGAAGCATTTGTTAACCGAATACACCAAAGTACTTCGGAACTACAAGGAACTAAAGAAGATGTCAGATGAAACGGAAACAAAACTGAAGAGTGAAAACACCATGAAAGATGAACAAGTTAGAGTCTTAACCCAAAAACTCAACCTCTTGCTTAAAGATAAAAGTGATGGTGATGATCTGCAAGAACTTAAAGCAAAGGATCACCAGCAACAAGACCAATTATATATGCTAATTTACAGAGAAGATAATGCGATAAACGCGATAGCTGGTCAAAAGCAGATGTTGTCACCAAATGAAAAGCAATTCGGAGCACGAGTTGATGCACTACTAAGCGAGAATTTGAATTTGATGGTGAGGTTTAGCAACTCGTTTGGACAGATACAACAGTTTGATACTGGGATTAAGGACTTGCATGTTGAGCTATTGAAGATCATAGAACAAAAGAATCAAGATAAGCAATCTCTCATGTCAAATGTTCGTCCCATTTACAAACACCTCAGCGAGATCCGCACTGAACTAACCATCTGGCTGGAGAAAAGCTTGCTGCTAAAAGAGGAAATCAACTTAAGAGCTTCAACGCTAAAGGACATACAAAATGAGATAACAGAAGCTTCCAAAACAGATTCTGAAGACTCGGAAACCAAGCTTACGATCTACCAAGGAGCTAAACTTGAAGGAGAGGTTTCAAATATGAAAAAGGAGAACAAGAGGATATCAGAAGAGTTGCAAACAGGTTTAGATCAAGTTACAAAACTGCAGAAGGAAGCTGATAAGACACTTGAGAAACTGAGTGAAGAGTTTTCACTTCCAGAATCAAAGAAACAATCTTGGCAAGATAGCAAAACTCGTATTCCTCTGAGGTCGTTTATCTTTGATATAAAACCAAAGAAACAAAGACTATCTCTTTTCTCTTGTATCCAACCTTCATTGTATAAGAAGATGAAGCCTGATTCATAGAAAAACTTGAACATCTTTTTCATGTACTACTACATCAATTGTGTTTATCAATTTGATTTAAATATGTGTATCTCTCAAATATATAAGACTTATCTCTATCGTTGTTATGTTTTATTTTCTGTTTTCTTTATTTTCTTTTTGTGGTGAACTTTAAGGTTGTGTTCGTAACGAGCCTCTCTATCTTTCAAGTTTTAATAATAATCCAAGTGCATGTTAAAGAATATTTTGGTTTCCTTCTTTCAAGTTTTGAATAATTCTCGACTCGATTTGCTAATAATGAGCTTAGTAGCCAAAACAACCTTTGTAGTTCTCGTTGTTGCGCAAACGTGGGCTTGCCTTGAGATGTTGATTTCTTGCTGGATCCTTAAACATCTCACTGAATACGGCCTGTTTTTATTTTTTTTGTGCGATGATTACAGAACTTTCCAAAAAAGTTAAATACCCCAATTATAGTAGTGTAAATAAGCTTAAAGTTATTGGCAAATATCCAATGCATATATTTTCCCGAATTTCTTGAATCTTTTATTTAAAGTTTCAAAGTAGAGTAAATTTTTAATTTCATAAAAATAAGATGGCCAGAATTGTCAAATTGTGTGACTTTAAATCGAAGAATTGTATCAGACGTCAAGACAAATCCTATATCTGGTTATTTGTAACAATTTTCCCAACCATGTATTGTTATATTAACGTTTCTATTTATGACTTCTAATAATATTGGTTAAGCTTGGGAAGTACTTTATATTTCTACCTTTTTGATGTGGAAGACACATAAATAACTTCTATTTTCACCAATATAAAGAAAAACTCTTAATTAAAGAAAAGAAATTTACTTGGCTATCTATCTACAGCTAGCAGAATCGCGTTAGTCTAAGCTTTCACGGCTGTTTTGTTTGACTAATCGACGTTTCATACATCCTCTTCGTGATCTTTGCTGTAAAAGATGAAATTAAACAAATAAGTTTATCAGATTTTGTCACTATTAACTAATCTATTAAACTACTCATTATTTTTTTTAACATCTATCTATTCTATTACTACTTTAATTAGTGATCGTACCCAAAAATTTACTCGTCGTTCTACACATAATAAGAATTTTTAAGAGGTGTGCAAAGTGCAAGCATCATTACCCCCAAGTGGGTAAATTGCCCTTCAAACACGGAGTTACTGTCAGAAAATATATCTTTATTGTTTTCTCCTTTTCTTTGTTAAACTCAATAGATTAACGTTATGCTAGATTGTAGGCAAACTTTATAAGAAAAGAAATTTATTTTAATCAATAACTATGTTCAAAATTCGGGTTTTGTGCTTTGTAAATAATAAAAGTACCTTGAATCTAGTCTGTATTTTGTTCTAAAATGCTCCGGTTGTATATAAAAGATATCACTTTATTTCTCTATTTTGGTTCATTACAGATTTTGTTTCTTCTAGTTTTGTTTTTTCATTCCTTATGTAATTATTAGTGGTGGTGTATACAAACTTCGAATACTGATCAATGTAATATATTAACCGACTGCTTAAATACAAAATCTTCGTAATTTCTGTACAAATCAAACAATCAAAATTCCACCATTTAAAATGTGGGTCGTTGCCCCTATAAGTTTGCCTAATACAACCAAAACATCCTAAAGGTTTTTAAAAAGACAAAGGCTAAAGTGGAAATATTTTAAGAAGTAATATTTTTTGGGGGGAACAAAAAGAATTAAAGAGAAGGTTTTGGTTAAGGAGATTAAGACAAAAGATGAGAGATTAAGATAATACAAGGAAGGACAGGGTCGCACGTGCAACACCGAAATCTTCGACCAGAAACGTTATGAATCAAAAGATGCTGCGCACGTGCCTCCTCGGTCAAAGGTCAAAAGCAACTGATACACTTAGCACTAGTCATTGGACCTCCCAAATTATATAAAACAACATTAATTTAGATGAATCATAATTGTTGCATTATTTTAAGAAATTGCTGGGTATCCAAGATAAGGATGATGATTAGGAGAGTCTGTGTTGGTAAAGACTCTTTAAGAGCTAATTAACAATTTGAACAAAAATTAATAAGATCTTTAAGGTTGTTCATATTATTGACATCCTTCACACCTTTACTCCTATCATATGGCTGAAAGATTATTATACGTATAATAATGTTTACAAGGGCTAACCAAGTGTTTAGCGTATAATACAATGCTTCTTCTTGTAAAAATACTATATACATTGCTTCTTGTTTTCCTTGTATATTATTTATATTTACTTATTGGTTACATTATTTAAATGGCTATATAGCTATATTGAAATTTATATAATAATTATATATAATATTTTTGGAAGAGTTTCCGACGGATTTTAGTCATCAAAACTATTTTATCAAAAATCAAAATTCGTGGAATTTGTTTTGGAAAAACCAATCGAAAAATCTCGTGATAAATACTATTTTTGGGTGTTAAATTTTGTTTTGCTACTGTATTATATTCTTATGTTGAAAAACAAACTACATTTTCTACCAATCTATACAAAACATGTATTTTGGTATACCAGTTCTATTCTACGTTGTTGTTTGTCATCAGTTCAATGTATGTTATAAACTTAAATGATATATACTGGATGATCGATCTGTAACATAGCTAGAGCTTATGGAAATATAAATCAACGATAAGAAATAATTAACCGGTAGTATAAGATCATACTGATCAAAAAGCATTTGCAACAGTCACCTATCATAATAAAGTATCTTGGAGTTTATTTTGATTCTTAAATCAATTTAACTTGAATAACATGAAGTCAGAATGGAATCGGCCGTTTGATAATATCACTTACACATAACAAAAAGAATATATTTGGTCATTTTCAACGAACACTGAATATACTATTGGAGGAAAGAAACTGGGATATGATCGATATATGATATACAGCTAATTACGTGTAACATAGCATACCATAACATATCATTATTTTACTATTAATCACTCAAAACGGGAAAGAGGAAGATAGTGTGGAACCATGTGTTCATCCTCTCAAGTTGCTAGATTCAGCCACGTGTGATGACGTGGCACTTGCAAGTTAATATGATTTGCAGAGAATATTACTATTTATACGTGTTCGGTGTTACAATTGAACTAATAATATACATATACGTGTGTATATACGAACTTTGAGCTCTTTTTTATCGTCAAAGGGTTAACATGATCGGTACAAAAGGGGCAGGTGTGTGACCACTCCCACGTGTGATCTCACATGCAATTAAGAGGTTTTAAAGCTAAGTCTTCCAAAGGGACAAATATATATATAGTTAGAGAAAATAATTTTTAAAAATCAACAAAAAAAAAAAGACTTTGAGTTGAGTATAAGGACAACAATAAGTGAGGATAAATGTTTAGGTATTTTATGTATGTAACCGAATGTATCATCAAAACCTTTTAATGATTATAATGCCACTTCACTCTGGCCAGAACACTAACGAGAGGCCACGTCCCCGTTACAATTAAACAAAAAATCAACATGAGGATATCACACAATTTTAACGTATTCTCTCTTTCTTTTTCTTTCACTTTTGCTTCGACAGTTCTCACTTAACTTCTCCGTCTGAGTCTGAACGACAATCTCTGATTACGGTTTATGCTTATTATATTTGTACACAATATACTTGATAAATTCGTGATTGGCCATCAACTTTTTGTCAAAGGATCACTGAGCATAAGGTTTTTAGCATGTTTTTCTATATTTAAAAAAAAGTTTTCTAGTGATAAAAATTGATAAAAGGTAAGATGTGAATATTTATATCAAATATACCATCATTTCGTATTTATGACTATATATATATATAACTATATATATCAAAACCAATATTCTATAAGCATATGATATAAAAACAATTAGATTTTAAATTATCATTTATATATCGCGAAACTGTCCATCAACACATTCGAGTCGAGAGCAGACCAAATCCACCGAAGCATGCCAACAATCCATATTAGGTCAACCCTTTGGTCAACGGAGCGATACTCCCCCATTGTTGTGTCCGCTAGCTTATCCAAAGGCATGCTGGCTCACATGCATTATCATTCATTCTTATATGAATTAAGCCACTCAACCAAACCATATAGGTGGATCGACTCACACACGTCCATCCATTAGAAATAGACATTAGTCACATTATCATCATTAATTAATCTATTAATATTCCACCAATTAATGCTAATCGAGCGTATCCAACGTTTACTCCCCCTCATAAGTCATATCTATATCATCTCATTTCGATCTATCAAGACAAAGAATATGTTTTTTTTCTGTCAACAAGAGGATGTTCTTTATATCGACGTACCGCGTTCAATTTAATTGACAAAATGGGAACAGTCTATTCTTTTTCATGATTGGTACGTCAAAATTGCAAGCTTGCATGTGTTGACTGGAACAGGTGATCGTGATTATATTAATTGCCTATCGAATTATGGTTGTTATGTATTATAGTCGGTATATAGAGACTAATAGGGTAGAAAATGCGTTCTTTTTAGTTTTCCATTTCTAATGGTGCAAACTTTTGAAACATTTACAAAAATGTGCTAAGGTCGGAAAGAATGAAAAAAAAAAACATAAAAAGCAATAGGAAGCCAATTCCGTTGCAGTGTAATGTAAAATTAATTGATAAGAGTTATCTATACATTAATTTGAAAATTTTGGGAAAATGACCAAAAAGAAAAATAAGTAACATGGTAAAATTGTACTCGCTCGACGTACACAACCGTAGATATTTGTTTAAAAACTAAGGGACGATAGATATTTGCTTACATACTACACTTAAGTTATTATTTTCTTGGAGATACGAGCTATAGTATATATTAAAAAGTGAATGTTTGAAGATATTGGAGGTTCAATAAAGTAGAAGTATAGGATACGAAATGCTCTAGATATAAAATAATACGACATCAAAGCCCTAATCACGTGCCTTAATTGCTGGGCCTTCCTTTTTCCCCCCTTAAAATAAGTATTCTCATTTGCTTCGTTTTTTACAGAGGAAACCCGCCTCCTCATCTGGCGGGTTGTTCCCCACAAGCCTTTTTCTTTTTGTTTCTCGATCTCTCAACTTCTTCAGAATCAATATTTTAAATAACCCTAATAAGAATGAAAGCTTTCGATCGATTTTTTTTTTAATTAGTTTTGGCTGGGTGTTTATAAAATGATAAAGATTTATGTATATGTATATGCAAGGAAAATGTATTTTTAACCAGCCCAATTTTATTTTACCGGGGACTTGACCATTTTCTTTTGACCCAAAGGGTGTAGGTAATATTTCGTCCTTTTAAAATACTCAGCTATTCTACTACACCTCTTAAACTTTACATTCATTTACCCCTATTATTCGTATCATATTAATTTACATGCAAGGTGTGAGGCTTTCATATATCAAGAACTTACTATCTCTTATAATAATGTTTTAAAATACACTAAATAGTATATAATCTAACAAAGTTCACCATGTAACCTAGTTTTTGTCTTATTAATATCACGGCAGAAAGTCCTTACTAATTTAGTTAGTATCACTAGAAACGTTTTATATATCGCCTCTATTATGGTTTAAATTTTTAGTATCAAATAATATAAATTAAAATTTGTTTATTCACGTAAAATTGAATGAGTATGAATAACTGATGCATCATGCAAGACCTGTATCCCGGATGAATAAGTAGGTTTAAGGTTAGAAGTAAATGAATGAAGTAAATGAATGAAGTAAATGTATTCATTTTGTATATGACAGTTTCGGAATAAATCAGAAATACGAGAATCCGAAGTTGTAAATATTAATTGAGGAGGGGTTAAACTGTAAATACAAAACGTAGACGAGTTAAAAAATGTTGAGAAACCCGACCCGAAAGAGCAAAATCAGGCTGGGTGGGTTAAAAAAAAAAAAGAGAAGAAAGGGTTACAATGCATGTACGACAAGTGGAGAGCGTGAAAACGCTAGTGGTTTATTTTCTTTTTTTTCGGATATTGGAGTTTAGGGGTGATTTGGTAAATTGAACATCACCTCCCAGATCTTTTGCGACCTTGTTCTGGACAAAATTTCTCCCCCGCAGTGCTATTAAAGTCACCTCCAAGAGGACCAAAACAAAACAATTGTTTTTTTTCCAGGTATAGTCGGGTTTTCGATTAAAACGAAAATATTAAATAGTTTATATATGCGAAGTACTATATTTACATTCAAATGTAAAGAATTCACGATTATAGTATCTCTAATCTATAAATATTTATAGCGAAATTTGATTTGTTTAGTTCTTTTTATCAGGGTTTTCATATTTACATTTTGTGTTAATTCAAAAACTTGTGCTAAATCCAGAAACAAAAATCATTTTACGGTTATGCAATGATCAAGTCAGTATTAGACTGTATTAGTTTGGTAGTCACGCATTAAACGTTAGGTGATTACTGTTATTAATTTTGAATAAACATGATTCCATAGAAAATTCACTCTTATCTAGTGTCCAATTACTTGTCAATTTTTGAAACTTCCAATTTTCCCATAAATAACAATGTCTGTTTGTTAAAATACCATGTATAGTTGAAAAATGATATATATAATTTAATAACAAACTGAATTGCATAAAGTACTAAAGATGATTTACTTAAAACTTCTTGTGCTAGTGGACCGAGTTCTAGTACGAACACTAGTACAAACTTTTACACATTACTCTGAATCTAAACATTATAAATCAAATATGAAAAAACGACAATAATAAATATTTTGAACATTATATGCTATTTTTTCTAAAGTAGTTCCAACACTTTAGCAAACAATAATACGCAATCTATATTTTCTAGAGGATCGAAAAACAAAAAATATAAGTAGAAGAAATTCGTCTAAAGTTGGAGTCGTGATTTAATCACGTCGTTTGCTAGGAACTGGAATGAATCATTGAGTATCAAAGATGTAATGCGAGCTTTTGAGAGCAAGTAGGCGATATAAAAGCTTAAAAGCACGTATGTTAAAAAATGATTTTGGAATCTCTTTGATCTGTGAAATAGTAGAATTGATTATGGTTTCTCTAACCCGAGTTTATATACCAGAATGCCAAATCTTCAGATCATAGTTTACAATTGTAACACACTTAAATGGTGGAACATTAACCACCAAAAATAACTAAATCGGATATTCACGTTTGCGCTTTCGCGGTTTGGCTCGCTTAATTGGTTCGACCGATGATGAGTCAAATATCGTTTGGATCTTTGGTATGGGCAACTAAACATAATGCACGAACACGTTGGAGTTTGGATTTCACACAAACACTATTTCCACGAAACCGTGATATTAAAACAAGAAAACAAATATATCAAATCTAAACCAAATTAATTAGTACTTTTCAATTGCAAAATACGCAATTGATTCATGCAGTTCAAAAAAGATTATCGACAAAGTAACAGTCTTCTTTTCCCCAAAATTAGAGTGACATTTGTAAAAATAGATCTCATTTTTTTCTGCCGACCCAAGAAAAAGCTCTCATTTTTGGTTATATATGTTTAATGTACTTAAAAATGTATTAGCGTATAATAAAAGTATTAACCTACACATAACTGGCTAGTCAAAGGTTTAAGACAATTGTACAAATGAATGATGTCCATCAAAATTTATATAGCAAAACGAATTAAGGTCAATAGTATATATTAGACTTATTTATTTAGTCATAAGATAGAAGAGGGGATATACTTACACCTTTTTAATAATCGGACAAACAAATTCAAAACAAGAAAAAGGTAAAGCTAAAATAGATATATCCTTCTCTCTGAAATCCCCTCCGGTATTACGCCGGGCGACACAGAAGAAACCGCTCTACTTTTTTTTCTTTCTCTCTCCTATCTCTTTACATGCACATTCTCCCTCTCTCTCTCTACTGCAAATGTATTATTATTATTATTATTATTATTATTATTATTATTATTTTTTAATTTTAAAAACGATTTTCATCTCTCCCTTTCTTTATAAGTATACGTCTCAGACGTTCCTTTAAGAGCTTCTGGCTTCATCGTCTTTTTCTCTTCATTCAAATCTCAGACAACAGTTTACATGCATTTGCTCACTTGAATCTCCTCATAAGCTTCAAACTTTATTGTTTTCTTCAGAAAGACATGCAATAGATAGATCTTCTGATAAAAAATACCTCGTGATTATCGTTTTTTTTCAAGTATTTCATAGTCTTCTTCTTCACACAAATGCAGAAGTTTCTGAAAGCTTAGTGTAACGCTTGATCAGGTTTGTGTATTTTCTTATCTTGTTAAAAAAAACAACCTTTTTTTCTGGGTTTCTTCTTTAAATCTTCTTTGTCCTTTTCCGCAGAATCACAAATAGAACTTTGTAGGCGTTCCATTCTCTCTCTCTTTCCTGATTTTTTTTTACTACTTTTTTTTTAAAATATAATCTTCTTCAGCAGGATTGTACCGAAGAAGAACGAACAACAACAAACAAGAGAGAGAAAGCAAAAGAATACTCTTTTTAGAATATATATATAAAAAAGAAGAAACTTGATGGCTCCGATGACGAACTGGTTAACGTTTTCTCTGTCACCAATGGAGATGTTGAGGTCATCTGATCAATCTCAGTTTGTGTCTTATGACGCTTCTTCGGCCGCCTCCTCCTCTCCTTATCTCCTCGATAATTTCTATGGTAAACTATCTCTCTCTCTCACTTCCTTTTCTCTTTTTGTTTTCTCGGGGAAAAATTTCATATATCTCTGTTGTGATGTACGAACGAAACACGAATGATTGTGGATGTTTTTACACAGTACATGCTCGTGTCGTTTGTATGTAGAGGTGTAAGTATAGCCTTTAGTAACCGACTTCATAGCTTATCCCTATAACCGAGCTGCTGAACTCAGCCTCCCTCGTGTTTTCTCTCTGACTTTGTCTGTTTCCCGAGAAAGGCAAAGAAAATTAAAAAAGAGATTTTTTTCACTTCTCATACGGTAAATAGAGACTTCTCGTGATCTTTGTTATTTGATTTTAACTAAAAAGGAGATTTTTTTCAAGTTCAATCTTCTGGGTATGGATGTAAAATCCATTTCTTTTCTCGCTTTCATTTTCCCGGGAAATCTTTGTTCTAGTTCATAGTTACTGAAGTTTTAATCTGTGTTGATATTTTAGGCTGGACGAATCAAAAGCCTCAGGAATTATTCAAAGAAGAAGCTCAGATAGCAGCTTCAATGGCGGATTCAACAATCCTAACAACATTCGTCGACCCACAAAACCATTCATCACAGAATCACATCCCCAAGCTCGAAGATTTTCTCGGCGACTCTTCTTCAATCGTCCGTTACTCCGATAACAGCCAAACCGAGACACAAGACTCTTCCCTCACTCAAATCTACGATCCACGTCACCACCACCAAACCGGGTTTTACTCCGACCACAACCACGATTACAAAGCCATGGCCGGTTTTCAAACCGCCTTCTCTACCAACTCCGGTTCAGAGGTCGATGACTCAGCCTCCATCGGACGGACACATCTCGCAGGGGAGTATTTAGGACACGTGGTCGAATCTTCTGGTCCGGAGCTAGGTTTTCACGGTGGAGCTGCCACCGGAGGAGCTTTGTCACTCGGGGTTAACATTAACAACGCTAATCGCAGGAGTAATGATAGTAATCAGATCACTGATCATCATTACCGAGTTAGTAACAATGGTGAGAGAATCAACAACAACAGCGAGAAGACGGATTCTGAGAAGGAGAAGCCTGTTGTGGCGGTGGAAACATCTGATTGTTCTACTAAGAAGATCGCTGATACGTTTGGACAAAGGACTTCGATTTACAGAGGAGTTACTCGGTAAGGAGAAATTATAATTAGGATTTTTGAGTTGGATGTGATTTGCCCATTGGCAATGGTCAATTAGTCAAAGACATTTATTAAAGTTTTGATTTGTTTATTAAATGGAAGTATTAATGTAATTTTTGATTGATGCAGACATAGATGGACGGGAAGATATGAAGCTCATCTATGGGATAATAGCTGTAGGAGAGAAGGTCAGGCCAGGAAAGGACGTCAAGGTATATTTTTATTTCAATTGTTTTTTTTTTCCTTCGATTTCATCACTATTACAATCTTTCATGACATCAAGAATTGCAATCCGTGTGGTTTTCTGTTGTTGTTTTATATTTTTTCTTGTGAATCACTCTGGTTTATCGCTTCAAAGCATGTCTTTAAGTGGGATTTAGAAGGGATTAAGAAGAGTGAACTATAGGACAAGAGTTTGTCAAAGAAAATTGAATGCAAGATTCAAAAGAAGCTTTACCTTTTTTTTTTTATAATTGATCTGTCTATTTCTTTATATGATGATTGATAGAACTTTGGTGATTTGCATTTGTGAAGGGGAGCCAAAGTTTTTAACTTGACAATACTTTTAAGTCAGGACTCGGGAAAAATAAGATATATATATATATATATATTTGTTGTTGTTGATTTTTCATATATTTAGCAGAAGGGTGCCGCCATTTTGTTCCTTTGTCTTTATTACATTTCTTTTCCTTTCAAAATCCTTCCATTTCACATTTACACACATACTAAAGCCTAAAGGTACATAAGATGGGTCCCCATGGCATTGCCTATATGATGCAATCTCTGTTTCTTTGATTGACATGTTTATGGACCCACTTTGACCCTCTACTCCCCACATTTCTCTTCACCTACACATATTGTGTTAAAGCATATACGATTTGATGTTTTGTAGGCATGTGATTTGAGACCATTGGACTGTTTTTATTTTTTCAGTTTTAGGTTTATAGGGTTTGTAAGTGAGGAGTACTTGGGTTTGATTAGAGATTGATTTTGGTTATGTATTGAATGCAAAACATGATGTTCCTTACAGTGGAGAAAAAGTTCAGGAATTTCAAATTAAAATAAATTTTCAATGTGTAGTGTTTCTGCTGTCCATAAGGTGTCAGATTGATTTATGTGTAGTGTTCACATCAACAAAGCAAAGTCTGAATATTCTCAGTAGCTTTTGCTTTATGTTTATTTTTTTTTTTGCTTTGGGCTACCACCAGTAAGTACCACCACCAAAGGAGTGGGGATCTAGGGCTTGACCACATCCAAAACTTCCATTCTCTTTTCTTGTTTGTTTTCAAATTCATTCACTTTTGCTTTGTGACAGTTATCAATATCCGGAAAAAATTCTTAAACTTAATATGATGATGATAATTAATTTCCTTTACATGATCTTCTTGCATTAAGTAACCAGTGCATGTGTGACTAAATGTGTTAGACTTTTTTTAGTTCTTATTTGTTACATCTCCTTTAACTAGTATTCGTCATTTCGTTGGCTAAGTATTGTATTATTTCCCTTTTTTGCATGTACCTCGATATGGTTTGCGCCATTGATGGATATTGGCTTTGCTTAAATCAACAGTGTACTTGGGTAAGAACAATATCTCAATTAGTCAGTTCTTACAAGAGCAATAAAAAATAACGTACATGCCTTTAATAATAATTGTTTTGTGAATCATTAAGGTGGATATGACAAAGAAGATAAGGCAGCTCGAGCTTACGATTTAGCAGCTCTTAAATATTGGAATGCTACTGCTACCACCAATTTCCCTGTAAATACCTTGTTTCTCTTCTTCTGATTTTATCAGTTTCTAGTTTTTATATATCTTGGTCACTCTTTACTAATCCGTTCCAATGATTTCAGATCGCAAACTACTCGAAAGAACTAGAGGAAATGAAGCACATGACCAAACAAGAGTTCATTGCTTCCCTTAGGAGGTAAGATCGAAAAAGCACTACCATTTCTTGAATAGAATGATTTTATGTTTTTTCTCCACTAGTAACCCCGAGTTTGATATTATACAGGAAGAGTAGCGGATTCTCAAGAGGAGCTTCGATATACAGAGGTGTGACAAGGCATCATCAACAAGGACGTTGGCAAGCAAGGATTGGCCGTGTTGCCGGGAACAAAGATCTTTACCTCGGAACCTTTGGTAAGTCGATCAATAAACTTTGATTACTTAGTTACAGTTCCGATTTTTATTAATCTATTTTGTTGGCGTTATAGCAACGGAAGAGGAAGCAGCTGAAGCATACGACATAGCAGCGATCAAATTCAGAGGAATAAACGCTGTGACCAACTTTGAGATGAACCGTTACGACGTTGAAGCCATCATGAAGAGTGCACTTCCCATCGGTGGAGCAGCAAAACGTCTTAAGCTCTCTTTAGAATCTGCTTCATCAGAGCAGAAACCAGTCATCGGTCATCATCAACTCCACCATTATCAGCAACAACAGCAACAGCAACAGCAACAGCTTCAGCTTCAGTCATCTCCTAATCACAGTAGCATAAACTTCGCTCTCTGTCCTAACTCAGCTGTTCAGTCTCAACAAATGATTCCTTGTGGGATCCCTTTTGAAGCAGCTGCTCTTTACCATCATCAACAGCAACAGCAACAGCAACAACAGAACTTCTTCCAGCATTTTCCGGCGAATGCAGCTTCTGACTCGACCGGGTCTAATAATAATAACTCCAACGTTCAAGGATCAATGGGACTTCTGGCGCCAAATCCGGCTGAGTTCTTCCTCTGGCCTAATCAGTCTTACTAAAAAATCAATCATGTGATTTGGTTGTAGTTTTAATCCTTGAGATCTTCAAGGGGATACAACTTCGTTCTCACTGCGCTAATCTTCATCTTCTTGATTCTGGCTAACCCTTAAGCTGACTAGAAGGATCTGAAAAATCTCACTTGCGTCTCTCTTTCTTTCTTTCGTTTTCTTTTTGTTTCATTAACTGTTGTTTTAGGCAAGAGTAGATTGGGGGGTGAACTGAAAAGTGGAAGAATCGGAAAAAGGTTGGGGTCATTATTATGTATTAAACGTAAACTCGGTGGCTGAAAGTGATAGGTTTTGGGGAATTAGGGGTGGTTTCTGGTTTCTATCTTTTTTTTTGTATCTATCAGCTTATCCGTAGCGTACTCTGTGTCTTCTATTTATGAAATATTTTTCTCCGAATGGCGCTCTGTTTCTGTTTCTGTTTCTGAATTGCGTTTCTTTTCAGAGACGAAGAACTAGAGATAAACAATGGACTTTGTATCAAGCTCTTTTGGTTGCGATTAACAAAGTTTACTAGGAAACAACGTAGAGCCTCTTGTTGATGATATTCACAGTTTGGTTGGGGAAATAAAAGAAGCAACCAATGGATGGAGAAGAACAAGAACTAAAACTCAGTCAATAAAAAGAAAAAAAGGCCAAAGAGACGAAGAAAACAAAAGCTTTCTTTCCTATGAGCACATTTTGTTAACATATTCACAGTTGATTTGAATTACTTCTACTCACTCACTCCATCAGGAGTTGCCTGTGGCGGCTGAGTTCGTTGAGGTATGAGGAGGAAGTGTGATCTTGTAGATCGCACGCGTTCACACTCACTGCTCTTTCACATGGCTTCTTCTGCAGCTCACCTGGCCCGTCTTCTCCACGCAACAGCTGCACCAGCTGCACAAGAATTCACATTAAAAACCGACACTCAAGCTCTGTGTAGTTGGAACAGAAGATCGGATTTGGCTCAAAAGGTTTGATTTTGGTTTGGATCTATGTGAAGATGGGGAGATTACGATAAAAAGCGTACCCGGGTCATGTCAGGTCGCATTGTGGCTATATGATGTATGCACATTGAAGCTGTTAGCATCACCCGTTGCATCTCTGTTGGATCAAACTCATTTCCTAGCCGTGGATCCACAATGTCTTCTACGCTGTTCTTCTCTAGAAAAGGTTTTGCCTGTTTATCATCAAGACACACCAACATCTGAGAAAGGTAAAAACAGAGATTCTAAAAAATTTACAGTGACAGAGTTGAGATGCATTACCCATGCAACAATGCTCTGTCTGCTTGCTGTATCAACAGCTCGTCGACTGGTTATGATTTCTAAAAGCAATACTCCAAAGGCAAACACATCGATCTTCTCATCAACAATGCCGTGTATGAAATATTCTGGAGCCATATATCTGAAGGAAACAAGAAAAAAAGCAGCCAATGAAATCAGATTTTAGTTTTTGATCATCAAATCTATAATTTTTAAACGCTTTCTGTGTTTTTTACCCGAATGTTCCTTCGATGGGGAACACAACATGATGAGGCCAGTTATCTGGGAGCCATTTTGCAAGTCCGAAATCCGAAATCTGAAAAAAAACGAGAACGTTCATGGTTCTAAATCCAACATAATCCCAAGAAAACGTTTCAGAGATAAGGTCAGAATCAATTACCTGAGCTTCGTAATCTCGGCTGAGCAATATGTTAGAAGCTTTGATGTCACGGTGAATAATCCGTCTAGGGCAAACATTGTGAAGATAACTCAGACCATCAGCTATACCTAGAGCCACTTTATACCTTATCTTCCACTCCAGACACTCCTCTGATCCTACAAAAAGATCAAAACAGACAAGATCACATAACAGTGTCTGTCGACACAAGATTTTCAGTACGAATGGGAGAGACTTTTTAAGATTACCAAAGAGCATAGAAGCGAGGCTGCCATGTGGAGAGTACTCAAGCACAAAATGCAAACCGCGATCACAGCTGAAACCGCGAAGCCGAGCTGCGTTTGGATGGTTTACATGTGCGATTATCCCAAGCTCTGAAAGGAAATCACTCACTCTTTCTTCTTCTTCCTTGGCGTGACTCATAAGCTTCTTGATCGCCACCGTCTCACCATCAGGCAAAACCCCTTTGTATACCTCCGCGTGTCCTCCCTTCCCGATCATGTTCTCTAACCAAAAAAATATAACAAAAGACTTTTACATCAAGAAACTCAGATTTTCTCAGACCAAATTTCTAGAACACAGGTTTGGAGTTTTTGTCTTTACCAGGATTGAAATCGTCGGTGGCTACAGCGAGCTCTTCGTAGGTGAAGTTTCGCCAAGAAGGTTTAGCCATGAAGAAGGTTTCGCAGGGGAAGCCATTCTCACAGGGAGAGAGCTTTGGTTGCTTACGCCGCAAGTTTTTACGGGTTAGTTCGTAACTTGCGACTAGGGGATAAACTGAGAATCTTCTAATGGACTTCTTCTTGATGGATTCGATCATTTTGTTCCATTGAAGACCATGGTAAGAAGACGAAACGTTTTTATTAGGAGTTACTGAAAATGGAGACGATGATGATGATGATTTATCGTCAGACGAGCACGAGCTGCAACTACTGTAATTACTGCTGCTACTGTCAGGCGTAACTGTGATTCCGAGTACACCTATTGGAGATGATGATGATGAATCTTCAAGGCCTAAGTCGTTCCTGTGAAGCTCTATCTCTTGATGCTCTTTGCTCTCTTTGTTCTTCTTCTTCTCTGTTTTTGTTACAAAGAAGGCAACAAGGAATAAAAAAAATGAGTCTTTTTTTTTTATGAAACCCAGAATAACAGAAAATTGGAAGGCAACAAGGAATACATTAAGATCCATTTTCTTAACAAAAATATAAATCTTTACGAGAAATATGAAGTAAATCAATGGTTTACCTTCAACAGCCATAGCTCCCATGGTTTTTTCTTCTTCCTCTGGGATTCTCTCCAACCAAAAGAGAAGAAGCCTTTGACTAATTTAAACTCAAAGTGCCATTATAAAAAATCCCAGAAAAATACGAAAGAACACAAAATGGGGGGGGGGGAGAGAGGGGGAAAGATAAAACAAAATTGCACCTCCGAGAGAATTTTAGAAATACAGGAAAAAACAGAGGTTTTAATGAGAACCTTTTTTTTGGGGTTTTTATGAAGAAGAGCAAAATCTGTTATTCTTGAAGGAATTAGAAAGTTTAAAGAAGAGTCAGCTTTTTGCTGAGTAGAGATGGATTGGAATATCTGCTATATTTATACAAATCCACCCAAGCAATTCAACTTCTGTTTCTTTTTCCTTTCAACTGCAAGTCAAGTCAAGTTTTGTTTTTTTGTTTTCGTTTTTAATCTTATCGTGTCCAACATTTCTGATTAAAATAATTTTGAGGAAGATGAAGATATTAGAGATTGATGCGGATGCCGTAACTAACGCCTTTACTATGTACAGTACAGACTCGACGGTTTGAATATCTGGAGCTGGCTGTGGGCATTTCGTCAAATAAATTAGACACACCACATTTGCTTGTGAATTGTCAGGAATTGTGATTTTATAATTTTATTTTTATTATTAATGGAAATTTGTTTAGATTACATTTCACTCAAATTATAATCTCCGCTAAATAGCTAATTCGTGAATGGAATAGCCCATGTGAAATATTGTCATCTTTTAGGGGTTTTTAATTTTGTTTGTTTTAGCAACCTAATTTTCTTACATTTGAGTAAATATAATACTATGTTTTTTACAAAGTGGAACAAAATTGAAAGTGTCAGAACATTTCGGGTTGATAGCCTGGAATTTGTATGACGGCTTGACATTTTTGCTTTAATAAGGTTGAAATGACAGAAAATAAAAGATTGGAAGTAAAAAACTAAAAATATAAACACAAAGAAAGAAAAAAAAAGAGTATGGATTTTTGCACTTATAGGAGTTGACAAATCCTTAGTTTAAAATGACATGTGGTGAGTGTGCTGTCGGATTCATTTTCTTTATTTTTGATTGAATTTTCGTGGCGCCATAAAGAGAGGAGACAAACATATGGCAGACAATTTTGACTACAAGTTAAAGCCATCGTCGATGATTTGTTTTCTATTATTAATGTTCAACCATGTTAATATTTTTATTTACGAATACTATCCCTTTCGAGCCATAATATAAAAAAGTGTTTCTACTGTATAATGAATCTGGAAGTTTAAGTTACGAGAATTATCCATTCGTGATGATGGCTTAATTGCTTTGGTTTACGAATAAATTGTAATTTGTCTCTTCTTCTCTTTTTTAAAAAAAAAAAAAAATCAGCGTAACCACCATTGGCATGCGTGACAATGGGTGAGACCCACCTCAACCTTTGTACCAACGAGGCTGCGAAAAAGAAAGACAAATCCCGATTCCTGATTAGATAACAGGCGTGGAATGGATTCTTTAATTTTCGAGGATTAAAAGTCCACTTTATGGGTCATCACTCATCACCTAAAGCATTAAAATCAACTAACTTTCCGTGAGACAAGTAGACAACCCAAGTGAAACTAATTTTCTTGTTTTTAATCTAGGTTTAGTCTAGGTTTCGGTAAATAATTTCTCTGGTTATCCAAAAAAAAAAAAAAAGTCCACAAGCGAAAGAAAAACTAATATCGATAGTTAAATTGCAAGTTTCGTTAGACGGATATGGATTGGATTAGTTGTCTAAAGTACAGTAAGTTCGTAGTAATTTTTTAATCTTCTCTAAAAACAAACAAACAATCGCAACGTATAGTAGGGATGGGTTTAATTGTGTGAGTTGGTGAACTAAACCCGTTAATACCACAACCATTCTCTCTTCATTGCTTTTTTAATAACGAAAAACTATACATATTGATATCCAATAGCTCAAATCAAATGGCCACCAAACTCACCACTCACCAATGTGAATTTCAGTTAGAGATGTCGGTTCAACCGATTTTCGCTATAATATGACAGTTACATTAAATATATATTTTAACTTTATGTTCTAATCATCGATAAGAAGCGCCTGTAGCTCAGTGGATAGAGCGTCTGTTTCCTAAGCAGAAGGCCGTAGGTTCGACCCCTACCTGGCGCGATAAAATTTCATTTTGAGATTATTTTTTATTTTCTTTACAAAAGCTCAAACTAATCACCCTCATCCACCCACAAGGCGACCCAGTTGGTTCTTGAAGTTTGTCAACGTATTAAGGAAACTTCTTTTGCAAGCAACAGTAATCAAGAAAAAACAATTACACAGAAGCACAAGGACTATATACAACATAGAGACACACTAAAGAAACAAGAGTTACAGAAAAAAAAAAAAAGAGATATAAAAAACTACAGAGATCTGCTCAACGACCAAGTTGAGCACTTGAAAACGTTGCAGTAGCTCCAACAGAACCAACCGACGCACTATTACTCGACGATGATGAGACATGATAAGTAGCAACAGGCATTTTGCTCGGAAGATGAGGCAATGGTGCTTCAAGATTCAAGACTTGGATCGCTTGTTTTATCGAAGGCCTTGAGTTTCTATCAGGATGAGCACACCATAACCCTACAACCATAAGACACTCGGCTTGCTTCTTGTCGAAACCATTATCGATCCCGAGTTTCTCATCGACAGCTGTGATCACTTGACCTTTCCCATACAAATCCCACACTTTCTCTACAAGGCTTGTTTCAGGCTCCACTCTTCCTTGTCTTGGATCAACAGATTTTCTTCCTGTTACAATCTCTAATGTAACCACTCCAAAGCTATAAACATCAGATTCTTTGCTGGCCCTTCCGGTGCTTATGTACTCAGGAGCCATGTAACCAAACGTTCCTGCTAGCCCTGTTGTCTGAGGACCCAGCTCGTGGTCCATCAATCTAGCCAACCCGAAATCACCGAGCCTGGCATTAAAATTGGAGTCAAGCATCACATTACTCGCCTTGATGTCTCTGTGCACAACACATTGCTCCCACTCCTCGTGGAGATAAAGCAGAGCAGATGCTATTCCGAGAGTTATCTTGCACCTCACAGGCCAAGCGAGATGCGGCTTTTTACCAAATAAGTGAGCGTCGAGGCTACCATTTGGCATGAACTCGTAGATCATTAGAAACTCATCTTTCTCATGACACCAACCAATGAGTTGCACGAGGTTTCGATGCCTCAAGCTGCTAATAATCTTCACTTCCGTTATGAACTCTCTTTTGCCCTGCTTAGACCCGCCCGCAAACTTCTTTATCGCAACCATCATATCTAAGCCATTCAAGTAGCCTTTATAAACCGCTCCAAACCCTCCTTCCCCTAGCTTCCTATCATCTGAGAAGTGTAGCAGCTGATGCAAGATCTTTATAAGAAAACTTTCTTGGCCCTGCTCCTCTTTCTAGATCTTCATTTATCGATATCAGATTTGCTCTCTCCTCTGCTTTCTTCTTCCTCTGCTTCCGTTTCAAGAAGACGACGAGCGAGACAATGAAAAAGGTAAAGAAAACAAAACAAGAAACTGAAATACCAATTATCATCCCCTTCCTGTCCCTTTGACGTTTCTTTATATCTGTCAGCTCCAGGCTTGAGCTAAACTCCCATGAAATAAGTCTATTTCCCTCGGTGACCCCTCCAGATGTCGCAGAAAACCCAATCGTTACTTCTGATGGAAGTACCTTTGAAAGATCAATGATGTAAGATAGGCTTGAGCTCTCCAGAGGATCAGATGTTAAGTCGTAAGTCCAAGAGACGCTCAGGTTTCTGCTAGAGGAATCATAAAAGATCAGTACACGGCCAATATCTTGGTTATGTGAGGATGCATTCCAAGAAGTGTAGTTGGATGATTCAAGAGAGTTGTTGTTGATTCCCACATGAGATCTCACGTCGGTAGGATCCCAATCTGAATTACTATAAGTGTCGAATTCGACATGAACGAGTGAGAAAGAAGAAGATTTAACGTTGGTTTCATTGAACAGGCCCAAGAAACCACCAGCTGAGTTGGGAGGCAACTGGATCCCAGCAGGAGCTAGAAAGAAAGCGAGCCCATGACCGTAGTTACCGTAATCAACACTTCGAGTATCAATTCTGAAGGAGAAGCGGGTAGTGAAATCAGAAGGCTTACCGATCTGTGGATCCCATAAAGGAATCTTCTTACCATAAGTAGCCCAACCAGCACGGCATGTGTAGTCCTTGTTTGTAAGCTCAACAGCGCCGTTTGCTTTTGCATCTCCTTGGTATGCTATTTCAGAATCAGAAGACCTAAAACGAGATATGTTAAACTGAACTGAACATACAAAAGGGAGAACCGAAACAAAGGAAAAGAAGAGGATTGAGTTGGCCATTAATTTGGAGGAAGAAACAGGTATTAGCACTAGAGAACAAAGATGGTGCAATTGGTATGTATATACTTCAACACCAAGTCAACGACTAAACCGTGGTTAGAAGAATGATTGCAACTGAGAGCCTTATCACATGGAATTTTCTTTATACATACCAACCATTTAAGTCACCAAAATAGTTGACCTTAAGAATAAACAAATCAAATCCCAATTGAAAATTCTCTTTTGATTGCTTATGAATATGACTTGAAAGATTATAAAAATATGGAAGACATTTTTAATGGCCATCCTAATTTGTAAGATACCTTTAACACATAATCACAAAGGAACTCAGGCATATAAACACTGATCTTTCTCACAGAACTAGTTTATGTGCGACCATGATTAGATACTGAACAATAGAATTAGTCACCAACACAGGTGGTTCATTTGTAAACTTAAGAACACGTCAAATACACAGGAGGCAAGAATCTTGGCCTGCAACAGCTAAAAAGACACAAGAGAAAGTACATAGAAAGGAAAAGGTCTCTTCTTTTTGAGATTTTGGGAAACATTAATCATAAGAAACCAGTATAAGATTAAAAACTGTACGGATGTACTTATAAAGAAGGAATGGGTTGAAAAGGACTTCCATCAAAGTCAATGACAAACGTTGGATTAGAAGAAGAAGATCGCCAGTTCAACCTCAGATAAAACAACGTTATTATTGTATAAGAAAGCAAAACAATTGACCTTAAGAAACAAATAAAATGACAAATGAGGAGCAATCGCATCGTTTCTAATAAATTTCTTCTAACGCAAACGCAAGTTTCTTGTATTCTCATTTTCACCCCTCAACTTTTCTCAAATCATATCCTCGTCCCATCTGGTTCGCCTCCATCCTATTTTCTTTTCAGTCTCCCTCCCAGATCCACCATCACTACCTCCAACCCTCGTTTTCTCTCTCTCTCTCTCCATCGTTCGTCTCCTTCAATGGCTTCTGAAGATTCTCTGTCCTCGAACCCTCTTTTGCAGAATTTCGAGTTCCCTCCCTTTGACGTCGTTGATGCTCACCATGTCAGACCCGGGATTCGTGCTCTGTTGCAGCAGCTCGTACGATTCTCTTCCTCACCGTCCCTGTTTTGATGTATCGTATTGAATGTTCGAGTGTTTATGTTAAGTCCTAATAGTTGTCGAATCGCCTTGGATGATCAGACGATTGTTGTTTTCTGCATTTTTCGTCTTCTTCTGGACCTTGTTTAATTGGTCACCTGCATTGATTCTTTGACAGGAAGCTGAATTGGAGCAGCTCGAAAAATCGGTCGAGCCTTCATGGCCAAAACTAGTGGAGCCATTAGAGAAGATTATTGATCGGTTATCTGTTGTTTGGGGAATCATCAATCACCTTAAGGCTGTCAAGGACACACCCGAGCTTCGTGCTGCCATTGAAGAAGTTCAGGTAGATGATTATAACTGTATTACCAAGTTTTTCTCTGCTCATGAGTGCTTTGATTCAAGTTATTGTACTTTGGTGTGAAGCTCTTACGAATTGATTTCTACATTTGTTTGATTGCCATCAAACATTTTCCTCAATGCTAAAATGACATTCGCGGAGTCAAAACATGTGTGTGGCTTAGCTAGTTTCCTCGAGTATACTATATTTCTATTTAGTATATTTTTATGGATTCAGACGAAGAGAGTTCTGAAGTTTTTGTTTGTTTGTTCTGTGAATTAGGATTCACTTTCGTGTTTTTGCTAAACATACTTTCATCTACAGCCAGAGAAGGTGAAGTTCCAGCTCCGGTTGGGACAGAGCAAACCCATTTACAATGCATTTAAGTCTATCCGAGAATCTCCAGACTGGAAAACACTGACCGAAGCTCGTCAACGATTAGTAGAAGGCAAGTAACTATAATTATGGATAAGCGGAATCTTTTTATATGTTAAGTGTTTAGAGATATGTGCTTACTATGGTGTCCGTGTTTTTTCAGCACAAATAAAGGAGGCGGTTCTCAGTGGTATTGCTCTTGAAGATGACAAGAGAGACGAATTTAACAAAATTGAACAGGTTTGTCTGAAACTCTTTACGAATAAACGTCAGCTTGTTTGGTAAATGGATCGTGGTTTGTCACAGCTCCATGTCCACAAACATGGCCTTGGTGTAATTAGTAATATCATCTGCTTATTTAATTTGCCGCTTTCCACTACAGGAACTCGAAAAACTTTCCCATAAGTTTTCTGAGAATGTTTTGGACGCTACAAAGAAGTTTGAAAAGTTGATAACAGACAAGAAAGAGATCGAGGGGTTGCCACCATCTGCACTTGGGCTATTCGCACAAGCAGCTGTTTCCAAGGTATGAGCAATATCTGAAAGATAAAATTTCATGTCGTTTTACACTGTGGTTTTCAGTTGCTGATGCGTCTTGATATATGACGCAAGGGCCATGAAAATGCAACTGCTGACACTGGACCATGGCTCATTACACTGGATGCTCCTAGTTATCTTCCCGTCATGCAACATGCCACAAATCGTGCTCTGCGTGAGGAAATCTATCGTGCTTACTTATCTCGTGCCTCTTCGGGTGATTTAGATAATACAGCAATTATCGACCAAATCTTGAAGCTTCGATTGGAAAAGGCCAAGCTTCTTGGTTACAGAAATTACGCTGAGGTATAGTCATCTGACTAAGTCAAGCTACTCTCCTTAATTTGTGGGCGTAAATTTAATGTTCTCCTCCAGGTAAGCATGGCCACGAAAATGGCAACTGTAGAGAAAGCAGATGAGCTACTTGAAAAGCTTCGCAGTGCATCTTGGGATCCGGCTGTTCAAGGTAACTTCCGGTGAAGATTTTCTTCAAACCAATATATAGTTATTTAAACTAGTAGGCTACTACTGCATTTATCTGTACAATAAATTTTGTAATGGTGGTCGTGGCCGTCATTAGCCTCATAGAGTTTTTGCATCGGCTTATTCGAGACGAAACCTAATTAGTTTTACATGCGTTATGGACATAGACATAGAAGACCTTAAGAGTTTTGCAAAGAAACAAGGTGCTGCAGAAGCTGACTGTTTAACTCACTGGGACATCACGTTCTGGAGTGAGAGGCTTCGTGAATCCAAATACGATATTAATGAGGTTCTTGTCTTTATTCTGTAGCTTGTGATACAACTATATTGTTTTGAAATTCTTGGCGCTTATCAATCACTGCTTGTATATATGTAGGAAGAGCTGCGACCCTACTTCTCATTGCCAAAGGTTATGGATGCGCTTTTCCGTCTAGCTAAGACACTATTTGGGATTGATGTAGTGCCTGCCGATGGTGTGGCTCCGGTAAAATCTGAAAAATACTCTAATCTATTGTGCATCTCCTTCTGTCGATCATGTTATTATCTTTGTTGGCATGTTATATATATATCGTCGACTTGAAGGTCTGGAACAGCGACGTGAGGTTCTACTGCGTCAAAGATTCTTCTGGAAATCCAACTGCTTATTTCTACTTCGATCCATACTCTCGTCCTTCAGAAAAGAGAGACGGCGCTTGGATGGATGAAGTTTTTTCCCGTAGCCGAGTCATGGCCCAGAAGGGTTCCTCCGTTAGGCTACCTGTTGCGCACATGGTCTGCAACCAAACTCCACCGGTTGGTGACAAGCCAAGTCTTATGACATTTCGCGAGGTAAAGAAATCAGTTTTTACAACTTATATCGGCTGTGAAGGAAGTATGTGTGGAAAGAGTTAACACTATCAACTATGAAGTATATGCTGAGAATCTTAGTGCTTACTCTTACGTGCATGGTCAAGGACTCATGATCGTCGTTCTGACTCTGATTTACAGGTAGAGACTGTGTTCCATGAATTTGGCCATGCTCTTCAACATATGCTTACCAAAGAGGATGAGGGGCTAGTTGCTGGTATCCGAAATATCGAGTGGGATGCAGTTGAATTACCCTCACAGTTTATGGAGAACTGGTGCTACCACAGGTACTTGGGTTCAACTGCCTTGCCAGTTTTAATTTACTCTTGTTTGGGCCCGCGTGCGTGAATTTCGCCCTCTTTCGCAATTTTACAATTAAATTTTATTATGAACATTATCTGGATTTGGTTTCAGGGATACCTTAATGAGCGTTGCTAAGCATTATCAAACAGGAGAAACTCTTCCTGAGAGTGTATACAAGAAGCTCCTGGCTGCAAGAACTTTCCGTGCAGGGTCCCTTAGTCTTCGTCAGGTCAGTACATCCTATCAAACTGCTGATGTTCATATGTAATACTGGGATTCTCTTGTGCAGCGGATCTTTAGAAACACATTTAGTAAACATGGTTCTTGTTTTGTTCTAGTTGAAGTTTGCCACAGTTGATCTGGAGCTGCACACAAAATATGTGCCAGGTGGGACAGAGTCTATTTACGATGTTGATAAAAGGGTATCCATAAAGACACAAGTCATCCCTCCCCTTCCTGAGGATAGATTCCTCTGTAGCTTCAGCCATATATTTGCAGGTAAACCCTGTAAAAGTAACTGCAGCCATGTGGTTAAGTGCATTCTGTAGTTTCTTGGACTCATTCACGTTTTCATGTTTTTGTCAGGCGGTTATGCAGCTGGATATTACAGTTACAAGGTATATATATATATATATATATATATTCTTTTGTATTTATATAATTCATTAGTACAAGAGATCTGTTGACTTATGATAATCACTCTTTTGTGGAAAACGTGCAGTGGGCGGAGGTTTTGTCTGCGGATGCGTTTTCAGCTTTTGAAGATGCTGGATTGGATGACATCAAGGTATATGCTGCAAAACTAATCACAATGAACCTTCGATTCGGGTTTTCAGATTTGTGATCATCTCCTTTTGTTGCAAAACACAGGCTGTTAAAGAAACAGGACAGAGATTCAGAAATACCATACTCGCTCTGGGAGGAGGAAAAGCACCTCTACAAGTAAAATTTCCTTATTGCTTTTTAGGTCTATATATATAAGTCGTTTCCAGAGTTCTAAGATGATCAGACTTATGGTGTATATTGAGCAGGTGTTCGTGGAGTTCAGAGGACGAGAACCTTCCCCAGAGCCTCTGCTCAGACACAATGGACTCTTGGCTGCCTCTGGTTGAAACCAATATTTTGATTTCTCTCTCACTCTCAGTTTCTCGCTCGGCTTTTTTTTAAGAGTATTTTAGGATTATTGATGTCATACAATAAAATTAAAACTTTTGATGGCCAAAGTACTGTAATCTTATCAACCAATCCAGATATGAAAATGGTATTCTAGTTATGCTTTATAATTCGAGTAGAGATTCCTTCTTCATTCTTTGTACAGATCTCAACTCACGACAAATGAGATATATGTTTTTCTTCCCCAATAAGAACAAAGATACAAACAAGAACAAACCTACCAAATGATCCTCTTCATCTTTACTAGGTCACTCTCAACCTCTGTTCATCTTGTCACCAACCATCTTAAAGAACTACCGAACCTTAATTTAAAAGAGAAAAAGAAAGTCTCTCCCACTTCTTTCTCAACCTAAGAATCTCTAACTACCATTTACATTCTTCTCTCTCTCTATCTACTGTTTCCGAACATTCAAAATCTTTTCTTCATTAGACTTTTCCCTTTACACCAAACTACCTCCGTCCCAGATCCTCCAATTCTACTCTCCAGGGGTTGTTATGCTTCTTTTGCTTCCACAAATGGCGACTGCACGTTATCAGCATCCGAATCACTTCCAGATGAACTCCCTGCCTCTGAATCTATGAAAAAAAAGGGTCACACAAGACTACGTTTAAACATTTTTGGAAAAAAAACCGATGAAAAACATTTAACCGTAAAAAGAACACATGAAAGGGAAAATTGTTACCACTAGACGAAGAACTGCCACTGGAACTGGAGCTGCCTGAAGAACTAGACCCACCACTAGCAGCAGCGGCGGCTGTAGCATCCCTTTCAATCTCCACTGATGGATAATCCTCAATTGGTATATCTTCTCCAATGTCTACATCTTCTTCTCCTGCATCCCCTCCTTTTCTCCCTTTCTTCTCAGCACTTGCCATTTCTGACACCGGATGCTGATGATATAGACAAATATCAATACTAGCCACACTGAAACAATGGAGACTTTTTAATACAATGGAACATAAAATTTACCATGTTTTCTGGGGGATTCTGGATAAACCCCTGACGCTTGATCTTGCTTGCCATCTTTTTGTAGTTTGTGACAAAACGATCAAGCTCCCATAGAGTCTCGTTGTCCAAAACTTCCATATCTAACTCAATTTCGTCCCCGTCTTGAGGTAAATGTGTTGTTCTCTTCTTAAGAATCTGAATCAACTGTCCAAGCTTCTCAGGAGGCAACTCCTGTAGATTTACGCCAAGCTTTGCCTTTTCGTCCATTGTCATTCGCCGCTTGTTTGAATCCTTGGCCTTGGGCTTTGGTAGCTTCCCTTTCCTTCCCTTAGTCGTTTCACCCACTTCAAGAGGTGTCTCTACTTGGTCAACCGGCTGGAGAGGTGGTGGTGGTGCCTGAGCCGGTGACTGAAGAGGAGATGGGACACGTGTGGGCAGCTCCATTACTGGAGGAGGCAATGTAGGTAGTGGCTTCACTGAATCTAGCTTTTTAGCTATAGAAATCTGCTCGGGCCCTTTCCTCGCATTCTCCGCCATCTGATTCTGATGCCACACTCTTTGTTTGAGCTCAGGTTGAGGACGAGAAGAAGATGATCCCATGACTTTCAGCTGCTGAGCCTCGAATCTCTCCAATGTAGGCTTGAACCAAACGTCAAACTGACACAGAAGCTTCTCGGCCATTTGATGAACGTCTTGTTCCTTTGGGTTATACGCCATCGCGTTGGTGAAGGTCAACCTAACATCGGAGGCGAAATCAATCGGCGATCTGTAAAAACCCTTTTGAAGATTCAACTTCACCGTGCCCAGATCCATAGGTTTCTTCACGATCAGGTGGTAATCATAAAGCCCTAATCCTAACACATCAACAGGGATGTTGAAAACCCATGAAAACTTGTGCTTCATCAGCTTCACCAGGATCTGACCACACGTCGACATCATACTCTTCAGCACCTTCTCTGACGCAGGATCAAAGACCATCAGACGCTTAAGGCCAGGCTCGTTCGCAGCAAACGGATTGCTTCGCTTCTGACCATGCCCAGTTTTCTTCTTTTCCTCCGTCTTCTTCACACCAAATTCATTCGTTTCATCGGCGAAGCTAAGAGCCGGAGTCGTATACACGAACGTACCCGATTCAATCCGTTCTCTCAGGAACCGAACTTGCTCGAGCTCCAAATTGAGGCGTTTCTTCAGCTCCCTGAGCTGATTCGCGGTGTATCCATCAAGATCAAAGGACACATAGTCTCTAAAAGGTAACGAATCATTAAACTGCTTGCTCGAGATTGGATTAGGGTTAGGGTTGAAAAGAGGATAATGAAAGTCATCGGAGAGTGGTTGGTTAGTGTGTTTTCTTATAAAAGCGCCGCCACATTGTCCCTGAAACGACGGTTCGTTTACGAGGTTAGCCAAAACCGCCGGTGCCATACATGAATCGAAGGGCACAAGATCATCTCAGGGAATCCCTTCTCTCTCCGCCGGAGTCAGATAAAATGTCTGACCCTTGTAGAACAAATAAAAAAGGGGGAGCAAGAAATTAACGCCGGCGGAAAACAAATTCCGTCGATCGGACAAAGAAGAGGAAGATAGATAGTGATGGATTTTTGTTTTGAGAGCAGAACGAGGAACAAGATGGTGAGGAACCATCTCTTCTTAAAGGACATTGAAATCTGCCCAAGTGTTATCCCCGCCGTTGATTTGAGATTTCACGGTCTAGATCTGTTTGATGACGTGACCCGTTTCCAGCTGCCCGAGTAACCTGACATAGACGGTTCAGATCGCGTAATTTATGCACGTGACCGTTTCACGGCCGTTGGTTCCTAAGGCGCGAAGTGTGCTTTACGGTTTTCTCGAAGGAACAAAACAAATCATTATTTAAAATTTCTTTGGTTGATTGTGGAGAGAGGCAAATTGGTAATTTGAATGGCCTGACATGGGCCACACTGATTATATGTCCCTATATTTATTTTCTGATGCGGAAATAACAACCCCTTAGCTGATGTGGCTTTTTCTGCAAATTTTTTTAGACAAACCCATTTAGGAATACACCTTTTTATTACCTTTTTCCGATTATACAGTTACAATAATCTTTAAAATTCAAGAGACAGAGAATGTTGTGAATCTCCCAAGAACAAGACATGAACACCCAGAGGAATCACTCTCTTCCCGGCATCATTCGCAACGCTAAGCTGCTTGCAAGGATCGATCACGAATACTGTTTCGATCATCTCATTCGAACGAACATGAACACGATCAAAACCTATCAGCTGTTTCTTCGGGACACCAGACAAAACCGGAGGCATTCTCGAAAACAACATCAAAACATGACTACCGTCGGTTTCTCCGGTATTGGTCACGCTAAATCGCACATTAAACCGGAGGGACTCACAAGAGTTAACCCCCAAATCATCGAGCTCTAAGTATCGGATCACTTCATCTCCGTTTTGGAGAAGCAGTTTCTTGTGAGAATGCTGTGGAAGAAGTTTTAACAAGCTAAGTCTGCTCGGTGCTGATATGATCTTGTAATCAAATCTGGTGTAGCTTAAACCGATTCCAAATTCGTATACTTGAGGTCCAGTATAGAATCTGTATGTTCTTCCGGGATATCCACGTGATGAATCGGCTCTCATGTGCATATCCGACATTGCAACCTCAGTGAATGACTCGGGATACCACGTCATCGGTAATCTTCCACCTGGTTTTACATGTTTAAAAAAAAAAAACAATATCATACCAAACGGATTTGGTGTTTCAGTTTCTGTGTTGTATTACTGAAAACCGATTGTGCTTTGCTGTAGACTAACCTGGATTGAAGTCTCCAAATATGATTTCAGCGAGTGCCTGTCCACCGGTTTCACCTGGATAACCAATCCAGATGATGCTTCCAATTCTCGGGTCGGTTTTAGCAAATGTTACATCCACTGGTCCTCCACCGGTTAGAACTAGAATCACCGGTTTTTTGCTCACAGCTGCAACGGAAGACACAAGATCTTTCTGTTTACCAGGCAAAGAAAGACTGAATCGATCCCTATCCTCTGTTTCTTGAGAGAGATCTAATCCTGCAACAACTATGACAAAATCTGCTCCCTTGGCGATGGCGATGGCTTCTCCAAATCCGGTACCAGAACCACAAGACACGTCAGAGCAACCAGACGCATAAGATGTCTTCTTTACATAGTTCAGAAGTTCAGTGAACAGAGTCTTTTGTTGACACGGCTTTCCTTGAAATATATGAAGAAATTTCAAAACTATTTCAGAAAAACGAAGAATTTATAGTAAGTATGAAATAACAAGAAGATTTCGAACCTGTATACGTGCCACCCATATTGCTTATATTGTTCGCCATTGGACCAATGATTGCTAAAGAAGAAACACGGTTTTTGTTCAAAGGCAACAGTTTGTGATCATTTTTCAAAAGCACAATGCCTTGCCTTGCTGCTTCCAACGCCAAGTTCCTGTGGCCTGAGCTACAAATGTCGTTTGATCCTAACTTCGCGTAATGTCCATCTCTTGGATCACCGTCAAAAAGTCCAAGACGAAGTTGAACAGCGAAGAGATTTACAAGAGCTTGGTCTACTTGCTCTTCGCTCACCATCCCTTTCTCGATCGCAGATCGTGTATTCCGAAGCATGTACGTTCCACAGTTGATATCCACCCCTAAGAATCACCATCTCAGTTTTCATTATAAAACAACACATTTACAAATTTAAACAAGCTAGTGTAAAGAGCTCGAAATGACCAGCTTTTATTGCATCAGCAACAGCTTCTTCAGGTGATTTTGTATATCCTTGGTACTCAAAAATGGTTGCCACAGCATCACAGTCTGATGTTATGTACCTGCACGTATACAACAAAGGCGCCCCGATAAATCTTTCATTGACCAAATCAAAAGTACTGCAAACATAAATCAGTTTTACTTACCCTTTAAATCCCCACTCAGCTCGAGCTTTTTGTAATAAGTCTTCTTGTGCACAAGCAGGCACTCCATTAACTGCATTATATGAACACATCAAGCAGCTAGCTTTACCATCTCTTATACAACTCTGAAATGGGGGCTGATATGTGTCTTCCATATCCTGTTCTGTGACCTACTAATAGAGAGTAAGCTAGACTCAGTGTACGCCACATAATCATCAGTGGCATCAATTCGACATGGAGAAAATTCAGTGCTAGCATCATTTTATTTCCTCTTTGGTCAAACAAGTCTAATAAACCTTGGGGAGCTTTCAATTTTAATCCAGTTGAAGTTGAATCCATAAGCTAAACTCATAATGAAGAAAAGAGATCTTAGTCATACCACAGCATTGAAGTCGTATCTGGTGAAATTCCCCCATTTTTCAAGATCATAGGCAGTGAAATGCTTGCAACAAGCAGATAACATGAGTTTCCCATCATCACCACCATCATCATCATCATGAGCATCACCATCATCATCATCACCAAATCTTCTTTTCAAGACCTTCGTCTTCCTCCTTTCCTGAAATCCTCTGACGAACTCAACGCCATACTCCGAAACTACCTTCGGATCCTCTCCTGGAGTCTCCTGCCCTCTTCCCCATCTCGGATCCCTAAACACGTTTATATTCGGAGCCCAGAAAGTCAACCCAGCTTGACCGGCGTTGTACATAGCCCGACCTTCCACCGCCACAGCAGATCCGATCTCGTACCATAGCGTTCTATTGAAAGACGCGGCGGATACGATTACCTGAGGAAAACTGGTGGCGGAGGAGACTGAGCCGTTGAAGGAGACGCCGGGACCGTTATCGGCGATCCCGTGTAAGGACTCCGACCACCACTCGTAAGGAGGGATACCGAGGCGAGGAACGGAAGCGGCTGTGTTGGAGAGCTGACCGATCTTCTCCGGGAGCGTAAGGAATGAGACGAGGGAAAGAGCTCGCTGTCTTATGGATAAAGAGACGTTGCAGAATGGGTAAGAGCTAAAATGGGGTGGTTTGCACGGGAATTTTGGATGAGAATCGAGGTTTTTGAAGGTTTCGGCTATGGCGGAAGTGAAGAAGAGTAAGGAGATTAGTATCCACTGAAGATTCATATTTTCCAAGGAAACAAAAAAAAAACACTATCGAGAGGATAGAGAAAGGAAAATCAAGACGACGAGTTTTTAGACCGGATGAAATAGACCGGGGAAATCTAAAATCAACGGTTGAACCGGTTGGCACGCCACTTGTGTTTTCGTCACTTGTCGTTACTTAACGGTTAGATGGTGGTGTTGATTTCTGACTGTTAAGTGTTAACATGTTAACTAACTAAAAGTGGACCGAAACATTTATGACACAGGTATTTTTTAATCTAATCAAGGCTTATAGTAATAAATAAATATAGATCAAGGACCCTAATTGCAGTTAACTTTTACTAACCAAGGCTTATAGTAATAAATAAATACAGATCAAGGACCCTAATTGTAGTTAACTCTTATCTAACCAAGGCTTATAGTAATAAATAAATAAAGATCAAGGACCCCAGTTGCAGTTAAATCTTTATTAGATACGCAATGCCAAATGTTATAATTGTAATTACTAGTGTTACCATTTTGGTAGCGTACTGTTTGAAAAGCCTAAGTTAACAAAACTAGATACTTATTTATTTATGAATTCGTTTAACTCCTTTATATATTAATTTGAAATTTTTATTTAGGGTTTTAGAGCATCAGCAATGGAGCAACCCATTTTAGAATGCTTAACTATTAAATATTATTAAATATCTTAAGCATCGATGCTTATAGGTCTCAAATAAGTATCGTTTTTTCAATTTAATTATATTTTTTTTTTGGCTAAGCATCGATGGAAAATGGACTAATACCTCCGTTGCTGATGCTTTTAGGTCCCATAGTTCTTTCCTCACAAAAAGCTTTACCGCAATCCGATATGTTTTAACCAATTTGACAATTTGATTTTGGGTTAAATGTTGAAAACAATAGATGTATCCAGAAAATAATGATGTCCGAATGAGTAATAATAGAGTAGGAGAGACAGTGCAGTGTCTGCATATCTAAATGTGTGTCCACAAACTCTCACGCAAATAGGGTAGACACATATTTTCTTTGACTCTCACAAAAAGCCTTCCATCTCTTTGACCTGTCAGTCTTTTCTTCCCGTTTCTATACATGACCTCAAATAACTGTCTTTCAATTATTTCAGCGCATACACACGTAATAACTTTGCGGATCTATGTCAATATGAGACACGGGTGTTTGTTCCTCTTCCAAAAATTTGGTCCGTTATAGGTGCTGTTGGATAATAAGAGTCTTTTTTAAGTTAGCTAAACTCACAAATTTAAACATATATATCAGCATTTGATGCTAACACCCTCATACTATCCATTTTATAAATTCGAATGGCAATTTATTGAAATCTAGTCTATTTACATCACCCTCGCTTCTTCTTTGATGAATTAGATTGTTATATAGAATATTATATACCACTTCGGATCTCACACACATATTAGGAACAATAGTATAAGGAATAGGGTAAAGATGGCGTTCATTCGTTTTGGTCGGGTAAGAGCTTGTGGGTCAGATCATTTTTCAAATTAAAAAGAAAAGGAATTAATCATGCAAAAATTTTTTTTGTCATTTATGTCGGAGTTAAATAAGGGTTATTTAACATCACTACAAGGTTATCGTATTAGATTTCCAATTTGACTTTTTTGTCTGTCTGATCGCATTATTGATGGGTCGTTTTCTGTGACAAACAGTACATAAGTTACTGAGATATTAACATTAACAAACAGTACATAAGTTATTTAGTTACAATAAAAGTTAAGAAACATAAACAGTGGCAAAATCCATTTCTGGCTTAGGTCTTATAGGTTTGTGTTGGACCATGGAACAAAAACAAACATTTAGATGACCACCCTTCTTAAAAAAAAAGGTGAAAATTTAATTACTGTTTGCACTTTACAGTTACACCAATCTAGTGCATTCCCTTATCAGTGCATATATAATATATTTCATCTTATTCCACCCAAAATTCACAAACTCTGTTTTCTTCCGCTTTAAGAAAGAACATAGTTACAGAAACAGAGAGAGTGGGATATGGAAATGGAATTGACTGAATCGAGAACGCAAGAGAGCAACAATCTTGAAGGCAATAATGGCGAATTCATGGCGATGGAGCAATTCGTCCCAAGTGAATGGAACTTGGATTACATCTGTTTAGACAACCTTCTCCAAGAAGACGACAACAATGATCACACTTTTTCTTCTCTGATGGATCTAATCTCTCAGCCACCTCCATTGCTTCATCAACCACCACAACCGTCCATCCCATCCGCTTTCGACAATCCTTTTCTCGAGACGTTTCAGGATGTTATAGAGTCTTCTTATTGTCCTCCATTGATGCTTCCGGCTTCTCAAGGCGACAACAACAACAATTCTGCACCATTGAAGAAGAGTAATAAGAAGGTTCAAGGTCAACCTTCGAAGAATCTCATGGCAGAGAGACGACGGAGGAAGCGGTTAAATGATCGACTCTCCATGCTCCGTCCATTGTCCCCAAAATCACCAAGGCAAAATTTTCATTAACCCTCCTTTCATTTTTTTTTTTCAGTAGCTTTTTGTTTGTCAAGTTTTTTCTGATTATTTATGGTTTTTTAACTTTTTAGTTAGTCAACACGAAATAGTCTTTTCTGTTTTATACTTCTTACAATGTTACATGTATGTTGTCTTCTTGTTTGGAACCTTTTTCAACACTGCTCAATGATAAGAATTAGTACCTTTTGTGAATCTGCATATACTGTAGTTTTTCGAAAATTTATCTGATTATTACCCACAATTTGATTGAAAGGAAGTAAATACCAATGATTGACTTATTATAATAATAAAATCAGATGGATAGGACATCGATACTAGCAGATGCCATAGATTACATGAAGGAGCTTTTGGACAAGATTAACAAGTTGCAAAAACTTGGAAGCAACTATCACCTCAAGGAAAACGTCACTACAAACGAATCTACGGTCAGAAACTCCCCAAAGGTAAAAACAAAACATAATTTATTAATTTTTTTCCATTCAGCTACTCATAAGTTTTGGTGTTTCATAAACTCAACCCCTTATAAAACCAGTTGTTACTAAGCACCCCCATACTTGAAGAAGTTAAAACAATTTTGTTCTGATGGTTTCCTTTTTTTTTTTGCTTTAACAAGAGCGTTTTTTTTTTTGGTTTGGGTAGTTTGAAGTGGATCAAATGGAAATTAATACGCACATAGATATATGTTGTTCTACAAAACCGGGCTTGCTTCTATCAACGGTTAGTACATTAGAGATTCTAGGCTTGGAGATTCAACAATGTGTCATTAGTTGCTTCGGTGACTTCTCGTTGCAGGCATCTTGTTCAGAGGTAAAGATATATTATTACACTTTTGATTTATTTGCAACATTTACAAAATGTTTTATTTTTCAAAGTATTTTCTATATTGTATATTGTTATTGTGATAGATATCCTATTATACAATATTATATAGGTTGCCGAGCAGAGAGGCTTTGTTACTTCTGAAGATATAAAGCAAGCACTGTTCAAGAACGCCGGTTATGGAGGAAGATGTTAGTAGAAAGTACAATAGTACAATAAAGTTGAAAGATTGCTTAATCTTGAATATTTTTGATAATTTGTTTGGTCTTTTCTTGTGATGATTGATGAGTTTGATTTTTCTTAAGGAAATATGTCTTTTGCTAATTGCTATCATTATGAAGAACGACTAAACTAAACTCTTTGTGCTACTAACACGATCGCAAAAAATCTTTGAGATAAAAGGGTTCAAGTTTAGGCCCAAAAAGGCCCAAATTAAGTTAGATAAAAAGCATATCTCAATTGAAAATACAGTAAAGCCCAGATCAAGATCACCATTCACCCAGCCTTTGACCTAACGATCGCCGTCCTTTCGCTCTTTAAATAGCTGTGTCCAACGATGAAACCCTAATTAAGTTTGATTTATCGTTCGAGAAACCATTTCAAGCTATGATACGATAGATCTCTTCTTTTTTTTTTTTTTTGGTTGTATGGTTTGTTATTATTCTCTTTGTTTTCGATTAGAATTGGGACTGGAGTTTGACTCTTTAGCGAAATAATGATGCCTTAGAGATGAATGCAGCGCCCTAAATAGAAAAGACCACAATCGGAGATCTGTCTCAGTTTATGTCCGAAATCGTTTCTTGATATTGGGCACTGAGATAGACCTCACATAGTTTCATCTTCTTTTATTGTTTTTAATTGGATTTGATTTGTTGATGGTAATGATGAGAATGGAGCGGTGATTCAGGCAGCCTACTTGTTAAAAAAAACAATGACATGAGAGGTGTTTAACTGCTCCTACATCAAATTATGCTTCTGCTCTTCAGACTTGCTGAGATTTTTATTGTCTTTGAAGCTGGTCTAGTAGTCTTAAGCACATTCTTTTCAAATCTTTGCTTCTTCATTGTATTATTTTGTTTTCAGTTGGTCAAGTTTGTATTAACTTGTTCCGGTCCGATTTTGAATTGGTCTGAATGCGATTCTTCCGGTTTGTTCTGGTCAATGCATTGATTATATTTCTGGATCTATAATTTGAGATTGATATGGTGATTCGTGTTTTTAAACATTTACTTTCCAATATATTATTGTTATTGGTGTTTTTATTGTTTCACTATCTAAATTCGCCAACTCGTATTGAGTAGCCCCTTGATCTTTATTTGGGATTTATGTTCTCTTTGAAATGTATGATGTTAAGTTTCGATGGCTCCTAGGCCCATTTTGAAGACTATTCTTCGTGATGGGTCCTTACTAGAACTTTGTGTATTGGGTCAGCAAGTATGTCAGTGTGAAATTATTCGTAAATATTGTAAAAGATTCTTAGAGCATGCATAATGTGTCAGTGTAGTTGATTGGAAGGAGTTATTTGTTAATGTAATTGTACAAATCAGGCGAGCACGAAAACTATTGGTTCTGTCAAAAGGTCACGTTTCTAAGAATGTGATAACGAGTGTTGAATGAGTTATTCGTACGTGATTGTGTCCCTATATTTTATTTGTCGAGTCTGTCGATACACTGGTCAGCAGTTTTATGGGTATCTTCGGATTCCTATCTTAGACCTAAAAATATGGAATGATAATTTGATATAGGTAAGTCCATTCTAGCTTCGAGGACTTCTTCTTAAACAGATTAGTTACTTGCAATATTAAATAAAAAAATGATTCTCTATGCTTTCTTCCCAAAAACTTTATACCAAAAGGTCATAACTTGTAATTTTTCCTCGCATTTTAATTGAATATCCTTCCAACAAAAAACACTTTGTCAATCACTTTTTTTATATGTGCAAGATATTATTTTTTAATAACAAGCACGGAGTAGAACAATTATATATATAAAAAACAAAACCAATGATTATTTTCTATTAAATGAACGGTGAACCTAAAGGTATGCACACTTACAATTAAATTAAAATTTGGGTAGGTTACAGCACCAGAGCTTCGTGCGATTAGGTTATGTTTTACATTTTAATATGGTCCAAATGTGGACCTCACATTTCTATTTGCTGACGAAAGCTTCCTTATTTGTTACATATAAGATATTATGAGATGCTTAACAAGTTTACTTTTTTTTTTGACGAAACTTAATAAGTTTATTGAGACCTGTCACCTGTGAATAATCGTGTAAAAAAATAAGACCTGTGAGTGCTTCCTTTTTCCGACCTCTAGAGATTTCTTTTCCGTAATGTTTTTTGTTAGGTATTGGATCGCACGCAGCCACCATCCACTCTCTTTTAGTCTCTTTGTCCCAAACAAGAAAATTGTTAAAGCGATTGGTTTAACGCCACGAATACTGATTGGATTGTTGATTTTTTGTTGTTGTTTGATTGGATTCTTTTACTTCAAATATAAATTGCGGGTTTATTTCAGATACTATGTTGATATGTTCAATAATGTTTTTGTTTGTTTATCTTTTTTTTTTGAAGTGATTACTATAAAATTACATATGCTTTATATTTGTTTAAAAAAAAATAGAACCAAACTACAATAGAAATATTAATAACTACTTTTTATAGCTCCATTGAAGTTATGTAGTTATGACCACAAATCAACACCGCCCTTCAGAATATTTTTTCTTGGTATAGTCCATGCATAAAATGTTTATAAATAATTTACACAAAATTTCAGGGCGTGTTCAGATTTTAAATTTCAGATCTTATTAACCGTCTTAAAAACAAACACACGTAAAGGTTAAAATGATTTAATTTGGCTATGGATGATTTGGTAGATCATTTGAGGTTAGAGAGCTAGCTTTCAAAGGGAATCTAAGATATATCGTGCGGAATATATTTTATATGAGCATCCGATAGATATGTCGATTCTTGAATCACAATCTAATACCCATTTATAGCCGAAGTTAGGTATAACATGGAATATTAATTACAAGATAGATAGATTCTATTCTTATCTTCTCATTTTTTCTTCATACGCATGTGATTAGGTTTTAATTCCCATTTACTCGACGCCTGATTATATACTTAGTAAGCAATATTTTCATTACTTATCAAGAAGAATCCTCAAGATTATTGGAACAGTCCCTGATTGTTTTCCTATGATGGGAGCATTTTTTTGTTTAACGACGAAGAAAAAATTATATTTTCTAACCACTATATATGTTTTTGATTCGCAATATCGCATGACTAAATTCTAGCGCGAAGAACTTTTTCGTCCATGAATTTTCGAACAAAATTCATTTTCAAATAAATCACTAACTAGGCCAAAAATTGAATTGATTAGATGAAATAAATTGTTTTCATTACTTAGTAAGCAATATTTTCATTACTTATCAAGAAGAATCCTCAAGATTATTGGAACAGTCTCTGATTGTTTTCCTTATGATGGGAGCATTTTTTTGTTTAACGATGAGGAAAAAATTATATTCTTTAACCACTATATATGTTTTCGATTCGCAACATCGCATGACTAAATTCTAGCGCGAAGAACTTTTTCGAGTTTTCGAACAAAATTCATCTTCAAATAAATCACTAACTAGACCGAAAATTGAATTGATTAGATGAAATAAATTGTTTTGCATCACTAATAACGCTGATATAAATTTCAGTTCTGCTTCTAGTTACGCTTCCAACTACGATGATCTATCCTTAGTCAATAATTAGAGTATTAGCTCAGTGTTTAATTTTAATTTTGGTTTTAATATTAAGCTAGATAAGGGTTTACCTAGTACTTAATTAGGGCTGCTTTGTTCTTACTTCTTACATTTTAATTAGGATTTAGAACCTTTGAAGGCTAAACCTGAAACTCAAGTGGTTTGTCTATATCTCTCCACTTCCATTTCGTGCGTACATATAATGATCGTAGCTAGGAATGTTTATAGTTATATGTTTGGTATGTGCCTGCACATATTTTATACAGAAAATGCATGTTGCTTCATTTCTATTTGTAGAATCAATAAATATATATATATCCACTCATTATTTTTTAAAATAATGTGAACAAAAGGTTAAAAGTAAGTCGTAGATGAATAGAATAACATGAGATAAGGGTTTGAAATTTTGATAAGCACGATTGTCGTTAAATACAAGAAATGAACCAACCATTAGCCAATTGGGTCTGACTCATGTTCGAAAAAACTTTACAAGTTACTTTCTTTCAATAGTTTTCTTTTTGTTGTCATTCTAACAAAATGTTAATGCACTTATTCGAAAATTGATCGATAGATCTTGTGGAAACAACGCAAAATCTTATGTTCGAATCAAAATGCCACGGTGGGTAAGAAATTCACACAAAAAATGAGATAGACTTGTTTTAGTCTTTGTATGAAATAATAAGAGTTTCCGGATCAAAACCATATAGCCGATGCGAAATCTGCAGGTTACAACAAGCAATTAAAAGATGTTTGAAAATTGACTTATGATTTTGAGCGATTTACCTTTTTAGATATATGGCATAGATTTTTAGGATAATAAGAAGTGCACTGGATTGTCTGTAGACTGTAGAAGATTAGTGACGTGGAGGTAAGTTAGGTTATCGTGAAACATGTGTACATAGCATCGGCTACAAATGTTATATTCTGTTATCATGCTTGTGAGTTGAGACATGATCCATCTAATCTAGGTCTTGTCTATATATGTATACGGGCATATATCATATGTGCGAATATAAAGGTAATGAAAGACAAAATTCAAAAAGAGGTCGAAAAGAGGGACAAGTGGTCATTAACCTTAAAAGTACGGCCAAATGTTTAGTAATTAAATAAATATGGGGTCGAAACATAAATTTAAAATTTGCTCACAAAGTGGGGTACAGAAGTGAACACTAATATTGTGCACAAAAATTTAAAAGTGAACACTAATAAGTCATAAAGAGAGATTTAAAGGGGAAAACGCATTAACTAAAATGTATGTTAATATGAAAATTTAAAATGAAAAGGGCACTGTGGCCCTTATCATTCTTAGGGGCAAACTGTGGAATACAGGTTCTCTTTAATTAGCATTGGATTTTCACTATATATATATGGAGACATGCAAGGAACACAACAATAAACAAAGATTCTAAGAGTTTTGAAACAAAAAAAAAGAGCAAGAAAGATATTCAGAGAGAGAAAAAAATGGAGTGGAAGACCTGGTACTTAGATGCAGTTCTTGTTCCTTGTGCTTTACTTATGATGTTTTGTTACCACATCTACTTGTGGTATAAGGTTCGAACCGAACCTTTTTCTACCATCGTCGGAACTAATTCTCGCGCCCGTCGATCTTGGGTAGCTGCCATCATGAAGGTATATATATATATATTACTTGAAAATCAATCTTTCAAATCTTGTGATATCCTTGCTATATATGTTTATATATGCCTTAAGATAAGTTTTGTTGAACATAATTGAACTGCAAGTTTCACAAGAAGATTGCATACATGATCTAGGTTGCGTCCAAAATCTACATATCTAAGAAACTATAGATGCATGTCAACAGATCTATATGCATATATCATTATATCTAGCTCTCGAGTAGTTAACAATAGGTGAATGTACTGTGACTTGTTCAGGACAACGAGAAGAAGAATATCTTAGCGGTACAAACACTAAGAAACACGATAATGGGAGCGACGCTAATGGCAACCACTTGCATCCTCCTCTGCGCAGGCCTTGCCGCAGTTATAAGCAGTACGTATACCATCAAAAAGCCTCTAAACAACGCAGTATATGGAGCTCATGGTGACTTCACAGTCGCAATCAAATACGTAACAATCCTCACAATCTTTCTCTTCGCTTTTTTCTCTCATTCTCTCTCCATTCGCTTCATCAACCAAGTCAATATTCTCATTAACTCTCCTCAAGAGCATTCCTCTGATGATTTCGGCGGCATCGGAAGCTTCGTGACTCCCGAGTATGTCTCTGAACTACTCGAGAGAGCTTTCTTGCTCAACACGGTAGGTAATAGGCTGTTCTATATGGGATTGCCTTTGATGTTATGGATCTTCGGGCCTGTGCTTGTGTTCTTGAGCTCTGCGTTGATGGTTCCAGTTCTTTATAACCTCGACTTTGTGTTCTTGTTGAGCAATAAGGAGAAGGGTAAAGTGGATTGCAATGGAGGTTCTGATGATCACTGCTCTCCTTGATTACATACTGTAATGTTGATGTTTGATTATGATTAATGATAAACTTGTTTGTGGTTAATCTAGATCTTTCGAATTGAGTGTTGCTAAATTGCTTTTAATAACCGGGTATGTTTTGGTAACCGGTTTCTCTAAAAGAATTTACCCTCTTTCAAGTTTCCATTTTCCCAATAATTAACGTAGCTAGCCAGCGCCAATAATAAATATCTGATTAACTTTTTCTATTACAAAATGGTACGTACGTAGAAAGAGAGTTATATGGACGGAAGCACATGCATTTACCTTAATCAACTACACTACACTACTTAGTTCGCAGGCGTGATCTAATTCATAGCTAGAATTAACCATGGATAAAAACTTCAAAAGCAGATAACGAAGAAGAATAACATTTACTACTCAGAATAGTATTGTTTAATTTTGAAGTATCAAATCAATTGAAAAATAGATGACCTCCTAATGAGAAATTACACTCTTTTTCTGGTGCTTTTTCTCGGCAAAAGATCTATGGAAGGTCATCTCATCGCAAGAGTAACAAAGCTATTGGACTCTTGATTTTGTGCAAAGAATATAATGTGTGGCTTGTACCACACGAACCAAACATGGAGTTCGAATACCTAAAACCTACTACCAATAATAACCGTTTTCAGTTTAGTGTCAAATTGAAAAATTGGAAATTTCAGGAAATTAGGATAAAATTCGGATAATTTGGAGAAACTTGAAGGAAATTTGGGATTTGGGTACTTTTACGTATTGTTTTTTGGAATTTTTTAAGAATTTAAACTGGTTTTAAGTCAACATCACTGTCGTCTACTTTTGGGTCAAACTAGCTATTTTTGTGTAGGAATGCAAACACTAAACAAAAAAAAACGAATGAAAAAACTCTAGCGTTGACGAAAATGGAAAATCTGTTCTTCATCTTCTTCTCCTTCACAGCTACTTTCTTCTTCTTCTTCATCATCGCCAAATTCCTGTGGAGTCAAAACCCTAAACTACCCCCAAGCCCTACGCCTCTTCCAATCATCGGCCATCTTCACCTCATCAAGAAGAATCCTTTACCACAAGCTCTACATCTCCTCTCTTCAAACTACGGCCCGGTTCTCTTCCTCAAATTCGGATGCCGTCCCGTTTTGATCCTCTCTTCCCCAGATTCCATCGAAGATTGCTTCACCAACCACGACCAAACCCTCGCCAACCGTCCCAGGACCATCACATCCGATCATTTCAGCTACGGCTACAAAAACTTCGGATTCGCTCCTTACGGCGATCTCTGGCGAACTCTCCGCCGTCTCTCCACCCTCGAGTTCTTCTCCTCCGCTAGTCTCCACAAGAACTCCTTCATCCGAAACGAAGAAGTCTCGCACCTCTGTTCGATTCTCTTCAGATTATCCCGCGACTCTCGGAAAGTGGATCTCAAGTATCAGTTCACTCTTCTCACCGCTCACGTCATTCTCAGATTAGTATCTGGGAACCGTGGCGTCGAGGAAAGCGATCCGGAATCAGAGAAGAGGTTCTTGGATGATTTCAAGTCGAGGTTTTTCTCCAGCATGTCGATGAATGTCTGCGATTATTTCCCTGTGCTAAGGTGGATTGGGTTCAAAGGTCTTGAGAAGAGAGTGATGGAGATGCAGAGGATGAGAGACGAGTATCTTCAGCGACTCATTGATGAAATTCGAGAGAAGAAATTTCATTCCACCGGTTCGGTAGTGGAGAAATTCTTGCGCCTACAAGAAACAGAACCAGAGTTCTACTCAGATGATGTTATCAAAGGAATCATAGTGCTTATGTTCAATGCCGGAACAGATACTTCACCGGTGGTAATGGAATGGGCAATGTCGGTTTTACTTAACCATCCAGATAAGCTTGAGAAGCTCAGAGAAGAGATCAAATCTAATGTTAAGCACAATGGGCTTATACAAGACTCGGATCTCTCGAGCTTACCGTATCTTCGGTGTGTCATCTATGAGACGCTTAGGCTATACCCTGCAGCTCCACTCTTGCTTCCTCACTACTCATCTAAGAGATTCAACTTAGGCGACTACGAGATCCCTGAAAATACTATGTTGTTGGTGAACGCTTGGGCTGTTCATAGGGACGGTAAGCTTTGGGAAGACGCGGATGTTTTCAAGCCGGAGAGATTTGAAGGGTTTGTTGGCGATAGAGATGGTTTTAGGTTCTTGCCATTTGGAGTTGGGAGGAGGGCGTGTCCTGGAGCTGGATTTGGTATGAGGACAGTGGCGCTTGCTGTTGGAGCATTGGTTCAGTGTTTTGAGTGGGAGAAGCTAGAAGAAGGAGATGTAGACATGAGGCCTGTGTTTGGTGTGGCAATGGCTAAGGCTGAGCCGCTTGTCGCGTTGCCTAAGCCATGGCCTGAAATGGTTCCTATCTTGTCTCAGCTTTAATGTCAATCTGTGTTTGCCAAGAGAGATGATTTAGAGGATGCTTTTTATATGTACACATAGATAATAAGGAGGACGAATGATCATCATAAATCAGAAATGGTTACTTGAATAATGGAATCAAACAAAATCTTTGTTCTCCAAAGAAAAGAAGATGATCTACATTCATAAAGGGTCTCCTCTCTCCTTCCCTTTAGATGGAGATATGTGGAGAGAGGATCATTTGTTGAACAGCCACAATCGCTTCTACATTCATTCAATCCTTATAGGCTTATATGATCAGAACTATACTGATGCAACATACAAAAACAGATATCCAAATTTAAGCCCAGATCAGAAGCAATCAAATTTGGATTACAAACGTTTCACGTTCAATAAACAATTACTGATACAACTACTAGCAGAAAGGCTTTTTCGCAATCTAGTTTCTTTAAGTACAAGAAAGCAAAAGAAGAACCCAAAAAATAGAGATTGCATACATCATCAGTGATGGTAATTTTGTCCCTTGAGAATAGTCCATGACCTGAAAACAGAAAACCCCATCACATCATATGAACACACAACTGGCGAGGCGATATACACTTGAAATTAAGTGTAATTGGAATGCACACACAGATAGAAGCAACAATGGTTTCACCTGTAAAGCTGTTCCATCAAGACCACAAGAGCTATCTGATGATTCAGAACCATGGAGGAAAGTCTAATGGTCACATTAGCTCGCTTCCTCACTTGTCTTCCATGTCCATAAGCTCCACCTATACAAAACGATATCCTCGAAGCTCCCTGAAAACAGATATAGCCACAAATGAACTCCTCTCCTGCTTAATAATCAATCCTCTTAAGCTTTCTATTTGTAAAGATAGTTTTCTTAAAGATGAGAGTAGCTTCAAACTCAACCAGTCATTACATACAACCAATTTGATTGCTTCCAATAATAAGACTATGGGTGATGTAAGAACAAAAAGAAGGTATAAGCTTACACTATTTCCTGCATCGCCTAGTAAATCAGCCATCTGCTCTGAGTTAATGTCACGGCCTCTCTCGTCAAGCACCACAACCTAAGTCACACAATTAGACTCATGTACAATAATCAAATACATTGGCTAGTATCGAATTATAAGGAGATTTCATAATACCCAATCATCAGACCCAATAAGCTTCATCATAGCCACCTCTTCATCATCAACCTGAGCTCTCACATCCCTGTCAATGCAGACTATCGATTTCAGAAGAAAAAAAAGCAATCTACAATTGATGGATCCAAGCATCAAATGACCAAGTTGAGTCTATCAAAATTGAGGCAACGTACTGCGCATTTCGAGGATTAGAGCGAACCAATGAATCTTCAAAGGAGCAATAAGGTTTAAGCTTGATTTTGTACTCATCGACCAAGAGTCGAACACCTTCCGATCTCTTTTTCCCCACTGTTATTACCCGTATAGGCAGAGATCTCTGTGACCCAAAAGTACCAATTCCATCAAAAACTAAACGCCCATTTCTAATCAATTCGATAGAAGCTCGAGCAGAGAGGGTTTCTAACCACTGCTTGACCAGCGTATCTACATGTTCTTCCTGATAGAATCACGTTCGAAATCAACAAAAATCGAAACCCATATCGTGAATGAGAAGAATAAACAACAAGAAACCTTGTTCCTGAGGAGTGAGAGAAGCAGAGGCATAGGGCTGCTTCAGGTGAGAAGTAGCTATGAAAGAGATGGCCATTTTCAGTTCTTCAAGTTTAACGACGAACGATTGCACATATCCGTTGGACACTCGACGCCTCTGTATGATTATAACGAGCGTTCCAAGCCCAACGTTTAACAAATAACAAATATATAAATGGGCCTAAAGTATAGTTTATTTCTTTTTGTCTACAACATGTCAAAAAACATGTATAAAAGATAATTAATAAAACGTTGTTTTTTTTTATCTTTACCGATTCCAACAACGATGTTTTTTTTTGTCTTCCAAATTTTTCAGTCAAATTTACCACATCAAGCTAATTGGCAAGTGATTAAATTTTTTATCTTTACTTTTTTTTTTTAAACTATCATTCCGGACAGTGCATCGCCGCCCAACCAGAACAACTATT